CTCMACAATCAATCAATCAATCAATCACTAACATTCAATCAATGACATCTAGACACGAACAACAATTACTTGGAGGTAGTTGAACTTGGTGGAATATCATTGATATTGAAGGCAATGAAGAATCATAACTATAATGCCAGTGTACAGTATAATACATGCTTTGTACTACGTAACCTGGCAAGGAATGATGTTAGTGAGACACGCATATCCAAAGAAGGCGGTATTCTCTCTATCGCCACCTCAATGCGTAACCATCCCTATCACCTCGGTATACAAACACAAGGCTGTGGAGCACTACGTAATCTAAGTTGCAATGGTATGTTCATCATCATCAATCCACTCACTCACTCACTCGTCCATCACCAGCTCACTCACTCACTCCTACCCATCAATCACAACACAACAGAGAACAACAAGATGATCAGTTATAGTGTTGGTGGAATACAATTGATACTTAATTGCATGAAGATATTCCCAACTCATTCTGATCTGCAACTGAATGGTTGTGGAGCACTGCGGAACTTGGCGAGGAATGAGAAGAACAAGGAGTTGATCACCAAGTTGGGTGGAATCCAATTGGTGTTGAGTGCACTGTCCTCTCATAGTCAGGATCCCGATGTCCAAGACGAGGGATGTGCAGCACTGATCAACCTTGCCTACCAAGACGATCGCAACGAACGTATGATTGCACAAGAAGGTGGAATCAACCTCATCTTCCAGGCAATGGCCAAACATCCAATGCACTCTGGTGTCCAAATGCAAGGTAGAGGTGCACTCAAGAATCTAAGTTGTAATGGTATGTTTGATTGATTGATTGGAATGGTTCCATGTATGTTTGAGTATGTCACTAACTAACTTTGATGATCAAACACAGCCAAGAACAAATTGATTATTGCCAAGACTGGAGGAATATCATTGTTGAACGTTGCATGCAAGAATCATCCAAATTATGCCAATCGATTCAATGAGTTAGTTAACATACTCCAAGCGGCATTGGATGATGAGCAACATTAAACAATTCAATCAATGTCATTCAATCATTCTTAATACTCTGCCGATTGTATTGATGATCGACGAACACAGTATGATTGTTACCATATTCGGCAACATATTGACAAACTTAAGTTAGTCTAAGAAATGGCTCAGTGGATATTGGTGACAGGTCAACAAGTCTGATCGATCGGTATTAATAGTGATTGAATTAGTGAATGAGTTAGTGAGTGATTGATTGAGTTTGGCATAAGATATATATTGCCAGCCAATAATAGAAGTAGATGATCCGAACGAAGATGATTATCCAGACTTATTATGTCGGTAATAGACATTACCATTTATAATAGATATGTGGATAGTTATAAAAGATGACTGAGATAGAGAGTGTCAATCTTGGTATCTGTAACACGCCCCATTGCATGTCATCAGATTGGGCATCACTCACACTCACACCCAATCACATATGTGTCTGTTGGATTCATTGTCCAAACATGTTTGACCTAGAAGTAGTAGTAGTCGGTCGTATATGAACTGACTGACCGGTCAGTATCCACAAATGGTCGATGATGATAGCAATGTTAAGTTAAGATAGTCACTGATTGACAGACATATTGACAATCGCACTCGCATATATATCCCTATAATTACCACACCAACTGACTTAATGTTTGAATGATGGAGTGTCCGTCAGTCTGTCTTATCACAATGGTCAGTCTATCACTTCTAAACTAGTACTCATCACTTGATTGATACCCCCTTCACCCACACACTCACTCTTTGATCACATGACCATTCACTCACTGGTACACAAATAAACTTGATCACACAAACACACAACTAACGACAATCATCCTAAATACGAACCACTCCTTCCTTAGACACACACATATGCATATCAATCAATCAATCACATGTCCACTTTCATAAATGGATCGATCGTCGTTGAGATACACCGACATCAATGTCAAGTTACAACACTGATTGATAGAGTGAGTGATTATGTGTGGTGAATGAAAGACAGCGATGTCTGATTGATTGATTGAATGGATGGATGGACAGACACACTGCAGGATGGATTGATTGATTGATGGATATGTTCACATTTCAATTTAGCAACAACATAGAGAGTGAGTGTAGACTCGTCGTCCAATAATTACCTCCACATACACACTCACTCAAACACACCAATCAATCACAATCCTTCCTTAATAGACGGCGCCGACGTTGTCCCTCCATCCCATCCAATCCAATCTCAGTACAATCCAATCTCAGTCCAATACACGACGACCGTGTCTTTAATGTTTGATCAATCATCATTCACCACCACCACCACCATCACTACTATATATCCAAGCGAAGCATACTAAGGTGAGTTGATTGATTGATCGAATGAATATTATTTAGTTGTCCAATAACAACAACATCAACAACAACAACAACAACAACAGGATCAGGCTTACTTACAAGTTGAATATCTATCTATCATCGTATTCACTTTGTAGTTGTCTGGAAATATTTATAAACATATATATAATATAATAACAACAGTCAGTCAGGCCAGCTGCAGCATCAACATTCCCACGCCCTTTACCGCGACTCCACTTACAAAGTCAAACCCCCACACTCATAACAGGTATGTCTATCAATCACAAGTCATGACATGACATGTGTCCACCTCATTCCCAGTATCCATACCTCCACCCTCAATCACTCAATCACTCACTCAACTAAAACAACTTTGTTGTTGTATATTGACATCACTATTTATATCTCAACAAATATCATGGATGCATGCAATCTCGGTTCATAATATCCAATACACCCGGGTTATTGACCTAATCTATCCCTTATCTGTCTTTATCAATCAATCAAATTAATCCACTACTACTACTATTACTATTACCACTACTACTACTACATCTCCATATTTATTTCCAGTCGTTCTATCCGACTCATCTATCATCACACTTACTCTAACAACACTTCCTTTCGTCCATCCATCTTTATTCATTCACTCTTTCACTCAATCTATCTCAACAACAACATCCGTCCACTCAATCAATCAATCAATCAATCAATCATTCTCTTAATTGCTGTCGTCTGGCAATCAACAGGTCCATCCTCATTTGTTTCTACAACATTCAATCAATCACTCACTCATTCATTCACACATACATCAATCTAGTATACTATATTTATATATATTTATATTATACATATATTTATATTATAACGAGTAATTCCAAGTACTATTTAAGTATGTCTCTCCCTCAATCAATCAATCAATCAATTAATTAATTAATATTTCCAGTTTGACTGGAAACCAATAACACACACTCACACACACATGATCGCTCACTTGTGAAGATAAGATACTAACATTTTGATCAACATTAAGGATGTTTAAATCAATGACTGATGTGATGTCTCCATCAATGAAGAGGACAATTCCATCTGGTGAAGGAAATAATATGAGACAACAACAACAAAATAATGAAATGGTTGATGACCATGATGACGACAATGATGATGATGACGATGAGATAAATGTACATCATATGCTCAATATGTTGTCCAAACCAAAGAATGACGCATCACCAAAGTCCATCAACAACACATCTTCCAACAACAACTCCATGTCCATGTCTTTCTTCACCTCACCCAACCCCAACTCAAACTCAAACTCAAACTCAAACAACAACTCAAACTCAAAGAATAGTATTGCCAACTTATTATCAACAACATATTCACATCCTGATGATGCCGCCGAGGCTCCAACAATGTCTCCAAGTGATGATGAGAACAACGAAGAGATGAGTGATGATGAGTTCCAGAGTCCAAGCGCACCAGGTCATGCACTGACCTCGCTGATCCTCAACTCGCCCACGGGCGGCAAGCCAATGCCCTTTAACAAGTTCAACCTCAACACGATTGGCATGCTCAAGTCCAGCTCGTGCAGCAACATCGCACCCAAGTCGTGCGCCTATCTCAAGTGCTGCATCTGCGCCTATGGCCCACCCCCATCATTCTTCTCATCCGCGCCTACCTGGGCCGACATCTGCTACATCGCGCTCTACTGTCTCACGCTGTCCAAGCCCGAGATCAAGTACTTCCACATCAAGAAGGACATCTGTACATTCATCGACGCGCATTATGAGACCATGTGCATGCGCAAGCGCACGTCCATCTGGCGCCAGACCGTCAACATGACATTGTCGCACCCACAGTACTTTGAGATGTTCCAGCAGGAGAGCGCACTTGAGAATGGTCGCAAGGGATACTATGGTCTCAAGCAGATGCATGACCCATACGAGCACACTGCACTCAACAAGAGGAGTCGCAGAAAGAGACGTCACGAGCAGAAGCAGATCCAGGAAGAGCTCAAGAAGTCTTCGAGTTTCCAGGTGTCGCCAACACACATTGGCGGTGGCGGTGGTTCACCCGCCAGCCAGATTGCCAAGTCCATCACTTCCGCGCCATCATTCCCCCACACATCACAGTCGCCTCAGTTGCTCCAATCACAGTTCAAGTACTCGCACAACTTTATGGACGGCAGCGAGATGATGTATGGCGGCTGCCAAGGTGCCAGTCACAGCACTGGCGACCTGCTCCAGTATAGACGTACCAGTCTCACCCAGACCGTGCCATCTCAAGCACCATCTCCTCAACAAATGGTGTTGCCAATGCTTCAGTCACCCAAGCCTGGAATGGTCCCATCGTCATCGTCGTCAGGTCAGAGTCACGCTCGTCCAATGCTCGCGGACATACTCAACTCCGAGGATGAGTTGCCATCGTCGGCAATCAGCAGTGCCGCGAGCAGCAGACGTACTAGCAGTGCTTCCACACTCTCATCATCTTTTAGCCGTGGCAACGGATTTGATTGCAAGTCACCCACGCCCGTCGTGCCATCAATGCCCGCCACACCACAGCAGTACAACAAGTACATGTCGATCAAGAACTACTCCACCACCAACACCAACGCCAACTCCAACTCCAACGCAATTCAATCACCAACATTATTGGATAACGATATCCAACTGCAACAACAACAATCACACCCCAACTCTAGCAATTTGAGCGCGACCAACACTCCATCTCCATCGACCATCAGGAAACAACAGTTCAACTCACGCACTATATTGCCAAAGTTGGATGACGAGGATGAGGACATGATGGAGAACGAGGGCGAGGTGCCAAGAATGAGCACCAACTCCAACTCCAAGTCACCCATGACCAAGTTGGTTCTCGAGAAGAATGTCCTGTCGCCTGTGAACCTGTCCACCTCGTGCGCCCCTCGATCCGCCAGCTCGTCCCCTGCCGACTCGCCCGCCGACCTGACCCCGCAGACTTACCCACAGTCCTCGACCTCGGGCATCATGGCGCTGGCCACGTTGCCAATGGTCGCCGACGAAGACTATTCGGACGACGACGACGATGATGAGGACTCGCCAAAGAAGCGCATGAGGAAGACCACACGCCCAGAGGAGAAGCTCATGCTCGAGAGGTACTACCAACTTCACTATGGACGCACGGCCAAGCACTGCAAGGAGGAGTTGGCCATACTCTCGAGCACGCTCGGATGGAAAGTCAACAGAATCCAGCGCTGGCTGGACAACCGTCGCACCAAGGACAAGTTGAAGAATCTGCGCGCATCCCAAGAGCGCGGATGTGTCTTTGGCGTCGTGGCACCATTCCCCTCCAACACCACGCTCACACCATCATCATCATCATCACAGATACCAGTTGTACCAAACAAAGACCGAACATCACCCATTCACTTCCAGCTGCTCCATCATCAGCAGCCACAATCCAACGTAATAACGCAACAACAAACTTCATCTTTCATCAATTGTGCCTCTGCCTCTGGAAACTCCAAGAATCCATTCCACACCAGCAATGGTAGCAGGCCACTTTTGCAACATTCATTATCGAGCAGCAGTATCAATAGTCTACTGAACTGATCGAATCATTCAATATTATAATATAATAAATTAATAAATTAATTTAATTTACATTAATTAATATTTGATGGTAGGTAGACTCAATCAATAATGTTGGGAACGAGGCCAACCCAAGGACTCCAATTGTTCATCCATTCATTCAATCATATTGATAAGAATAAAGATTCCAAGACAAGACATCATTGATGGATGTATTATACAAATGGAATGATCAATCATACACACACACACACACACACAACTATCCTCGATCACAAACACAGGGACTGTGGTTGATCATGTGACATGATTGTGTGATAAATCTAATCATGATAGGATATCAATCAATCAATCAATCAATCAATCATACATCACTTGTATTATTAGTGTTTTCAAACGCTAATATTAATATTAGTTGATTGTGATTCGTCAGGTTGTCTCTCGTTCACTCCATCTTCTTCATCCATGGTCGTCAACTCTCTCACCTGTCACATATTGTCATCGTGATTTAAGACAGTGATCAGCCATTTGAATTGATTATTATCATCAATCAACTCACACTACCAACCACCCTATTGATGATGCCAAGATCGATTCCCAAGGTAAGATCTAACCTTGCCTTGTCGGACTATATTGGTATATCCCTCTCTCTCTCTTTGTTTCATTCTTTCTCGCACACATTCTCAATCACATCACCAGAGTAACCAGACTCGCCCCCAACATCGACGCTCGTGTATGCTGGTCAGTATCCCGGGAATATTGTTATTGTCTGACTGTCTGCCTTACTAACAAAACAAAGTGTCAAGCTGCTGTCTTCACTTCCGCACGGTTAATCAACATTGATATTAATTAATATATATATATATATCAATCATATATTATTATTTAATTGTTGTTATATTAAAATATATACATTATATATTTGTTTGATTGATTGATTGATTTATTAATTTATTACAAACAAAAAAGGAAGATGGCTACATCCACAAGGCTATTAGTACTATTAATTATTACAACTGTCTATTCAATATATAGCGTTGACGGTGTTGATATTGGTAAGTCAGCATTCAATCATTATTCCCTTTTGGAACCGAATATCCTAACTCAAATCAATCAATCACACTTTGGAATCATTAAATATATATAGCATGTAGTAAATTGACATATGATCAGTGTTTGGGAGAAGAAACATGTGTTGGATTGCAAGCATTGACATGTTGTTCATACAAGAAGTTATCATTCTGTCAAGATAGTAATGCAAGGATATCCGATTGTGTGCCGGATAAGAAGCTGCCAGAGTTGTGGTGTTTGGATGCTGGTGAGATGTTGGAGTTCCATGTGGACAGTTGTCACCGCCCTGCCAACTCATTCATGCCAAAGGCCACTGGCTGTGGAGAGGACGACTGTCCAGCCGGCTACACATGTGAGGACGACGAGCCAGGCCGTACCTGTTCTGTGTCGTCCAGCGGAGCTGGCAAGTGCTGCAACTTCAAGGCCAAGTGTGTGCCCGATCCCAATGCAGGCCAGGAGACCAATGATACATTGATCGATATGTCCGACGAGGAGGGCACATACATTCCTCCACAGTTCATACCGGGCAAGTCAAACTTCCCAACATGCTCTGCTGTGAAATGCCCGACTGGAGCCAAGTGTGTGGTCGACCCCAAGGTTGGCGCCGTATGTCGCAAGTCCTGCAGCCAGAAGTGTCCGACAGGCCAGAGCTGCTTCCAATCCAACGGAACTACCGGATGCATGGGTCGCTGCAGCACCATGCCCAAGTGTGCCAAGGGCTTTATCTGTGTGGATGATCCCGTGCTCGGAGGCAACTGCCAGAAGATCAGCTGTAACAACACTGTGTGCGCCAAAGGCAAGAAGTGCGTGGTGGACGCGTCCACCGCCGAGGGTGTGCGCTGCGTCGGTCTGAACTACACCGCCTGCGCTGCAATGTCCTGTCCCAAGGGCGCAGCATGCTCTGACACGCCCAAGGGTGGAAAGTGTGTCAAGATCCCGCCTTGCTCGCTCAAGATCTGTCCCCCAGACAGTAAGTGCAAGTTCAATGCGACGAATGAGTGGTGCAGGACCAGCGCCAACTGCACGACCTACGAGTGCGAGGAGGGCTCAGACTGTGTCGATGACGAGTTTACCGGCGCAACATGCATCAAGCCGGGTCCATCCTGCAACGACCTTGTATGTGACGCCGGCATGAAGTGTGTAGAGAGCGATACGGTCGGCCCATACTGTGTTGCCACGCCATGTGGTGATCTGAACTGCACAGCCAACCAAACCTGCATCATCGACACAGTCACCAGCGCGACCGAATGTCGCGACAAGCCCGCTCCACTCCTCCAGCCTGTGAAGCGCACGATCAACTGCAGCACGATTGTCTGTGCGAATGGTACGTTCTGCCAGGAGGCGCCCAACAAGCTTCCATCATGTGTGCCCAAGCAAGTCTGCACGGCTGCGTTGTGTGGTCCAGAGTTTAGATGTATCGACGACATTACAATGGGCGGCAAGTGTATCCAAAAGAACTTGGTCACCTGTGAGATGATCAAGTGTCGAGCAGGCTACAGATGTATCGAGAGCGTGGCCAATGGCGGCGACTGCGTGAAGAATGGCACGGTCATCCCCACGCCAGCGCCCACGACTGCACCGCATCGCAGCACTGGACCTATCGGCAGCAACAACATCACTGTCACCGACGCGGATGCCTGTGCCAGTTTGGAGTGTACGGTTGGCCACATCTGCATGCCCGACCACCAAGGCTACCTCTGCGCCGACGCTGACAACTGTAGCAATATGTACTGTCCCACCGGATACGAATGTTTCGCACATACCAACAATGTAGGATACTGTCGTCGCATTACCTGTGCCACACTGAACTGCAAGAAGCCTCTAGTATGTCACTCTACCGATGAAGGTGTACCAGAGTGTCGTATCGAAACTATCAAGAAATCATAGATTGATTGATTGATTGATAGTTATTCATTTGTATTTACTACTTACTTATCACTTTAAAGATTAAACAATACCCTTTAACCTTGCATTCATCTCCTTGTCAACCCTTGCCCTCACCCCTTTTATGACTTCATTTATGGGACAATCATGTAACTTCACATCGTCACCTCAACTTCACTCACTCATTCATTCATTTGAAACGACACATTGATTGTTGTTGTTGTACATGTATATATAAATAACTAAGGATGGATCAACAACAGAGACAACAACATCAGATGCAACAACAGAGATTGGCTCAATTGGAGAATGAAAGATCATTATTGTTGGAATTCATTTATAACAATCATTCTGATAAGATACCTGCACATCTAAAGACAACAACAACAAACTATAATAATATAAATGTAAATGAACTGATTACAACATTGAAGAATCATCAACAACATCAGAGACAACCATCACCTCCACAACTTAATAATAGTATTGGATCGTTGGCCAAGGAGACTCTGGCCAGTCCAACAACACAAAGACATAATAATGAACAAGCACAACAACAACAAGCACAACAGATACAGCAACAACAACATAAACCGATAACATTGAACAAGCCAACTGTTGATGTTCCAGATGACTATGGACTGCTAAGTAAGGAACAGTTCCATCTGGCAAGCTATGAGACATACTTGTTGCTCAACAGGATTAACAAGCCATCATTGGACCCAAATGTATGATCACATCGATTGATTGAATGTGATTGATCGAATGAATGATTGAATGACTAACAAGTTGTGAAGAGCTTTGAGGCAGAGGATAACTTTAGAATACAAATGGAGATATCAAAGTTGAAGCATGAGTTGTTCATGAAGATGTATACACCATTGCCAAATGCACCAACAGTTGGACGTCCACTTACTCATTCATTGGTTTATAGACTGTGGATATTGAGACAGTTCAATATGCGTCAGTTTGACAGCTTTGATACAATGATGATATGGTTCAAACGACAATTGTACACATTCATGGAGGGCGTGCAATGCATGCTTAAGGAGCGCTCACAAATGCTTCGCGTCCACTGCTACAACCTGGAGATGGCGATGATGGACTCGCAGCCGGCCAGCACAGCCGACCCGGCTTACCAGCAGCACCTCCAGACGCTGGACCGCTTCGTTGGCGACATTATAAAGAGCGCGCACACCAGTCCAAACAACCGGAACGCCGACATTGTGCTGGCGTCCGAGTACCTGATCGAGCCAATCCCCATCCTGTTCCCGCTCAACACGCTGATGTTTGAGGACATGCTCTTCTACATCCTGTTCGAGTTCAACAACGATGAGATTGTGTTTGTGGGCAACGACGCGCTGGTCACAAGCGCCAGCATCATGCCATTCGCGCGCGCACTCCGCATCTCGGAGCCAATGACGCGCATCTGCCATCTGAACTGTTTCTCCACGGCCTATCAGGCCGAGCTGCGCGAGGAGCACTTTGTGCGTCTAAAGACATCGCTTGACACTATCGAACACATGGTGCTGGAGAACACGGCGGCGATCCAGACGGACATACCCACGGCCAACCTGCTAAAGGAGACGCTGAAGAAGATTGCCGGGTGGCTGCTCAAGCTGCTGAGCGACGTGCATTCACACAAGACAGAGACGCCCACGCGCGACATTGAGATTGCCTGCGCAGTCTATATTCAATCTCGCGAGATGTGGAGCAAGCTGGCCAGCGGCAACAAGGCCCCCGCTGGTACCAAGTCGTCGACCGAGGCCAACTTCACCTCGTTTGTCGTGTCGTCCGTCTCGTGCCATTATAGCCGTCTGTCCAAGCCCTTCCGACCAATGACACTGGACAACTTTAGCACGTTTGTCGAGGCGCTGATGCCCGAGATCACGCTCAACCTCAACATGTACACGCGAGGTTTCCTCAAGGTGCATTCTGCCGCGTCCGCGACGGCGCTCACTGAGTTTGTCAAACTTTACTCGGCGGACCTTGCCGTCGTGTTTGAGAACGTCGGCTTCCTGTCGCCCATGGTGATCCAGTCGGTGCAGAGTGCCGCGCAGTTCCAGATCTTCCTGCAGGAGCTCAAGGTGCTGCCACACGAGGCGCTGCCGCACCCGTCACGCTACGTCAGCAACGTCGTGTCGTCGTGGTGCCAGAACCAGGAGAAGTCGTTCCGCAACTGGTCCGACAACATCTTCCACCTGGACAAGTTCACCGCCATCGACAAGACGATCAAGCATTCGTCGTCTGTCGTCGACCTGTTCCAAATGTTCTACCAAACGATCAACACACTCGAGAAGATGCGTGGCTCGCTCTCGTCGTCCTTTGGCACATTCGTCATCACCCTTTCCAACATGTTCAAGGCCTCGCTCATGGACTACAATAGACGCATCATTCAAATCACCAGCTGTCAACTCAAACAACACCTCTATCCCAACTCTCTGAACGAGCGCATCCAGAAGAAGGGCTTCCGAAAGAGCTTTAGCAGCGTCTCGACGAGCGGCGGTGGGGCACATGGATCATCGTCGGGCGCGTCGACCAAACACGACGAGCTTGGCGTGGCAGTGGACCTGGCATCGCGTCAGCCCATCGCGGTGTTGTGCGTGTGCCTCAACAACCTTGACTTTATCGAGCAGAACATCATCAAGTACATTGAGTACCACTCGTACGACATTGTTGAGGTGAAGCGCGCACTGTCTGATCTCTTCCTCTCGGTGCACACGGCCATCAAAGATACGTCATCCAACCTGATCGACTATATAGGCGCCAAGATAGTCTTTGTCGATCTCCGCGCACATTTGCTCGACCACATGTACCTGGCGCCCCTGTCCAAACAATCAAGGATCGATCAGCCCCTCGAACTCCTCAATCCACACCTCAAGGCAATCTACGCCAACACCCAGACGATTGAGCGAGGCAACGACCTGCTGACATCAGTGTGTCGGCACTTCCTACAGATGATGGAGTACGTGCTGCTGTACTCTGGTCCGACGCGACACTATAACACGGGCGAGACACAATGGATTGAGGAGGATTTGGAGACGGTGAAGGAGTTCTTTTTGGACCGCGACGACCAGGGCCATGCCAATGGCGTGGAAGAGCGAGTCTATGATAGATGTGCAGGCGAGTTGACCAAAGTCTGCAATGTACTAATGGATCAACCAAGTGAGATATTGATCGAACAATACACCTCTAGCAAACCAAGCAATATCTTCACAGCCGACGTCATCATGGCAGTTCTAATACATCGCAATGACAAAAATCGCCAGAACATTCATCAAGAAGAGGCTACACGATCCCAACTACCTATCAATCAAAAAAGGTTCCAAAGTCAAGTTCCTCACCAAGTAAGGTCATGCATTGATTATGATTGATTGGCCATGGTTATGGTCATGGACAAGGACAAGGACATGGACATTTACTTGGACAGTTGTCCACACATATCAAGCCTCAAACAATCAATCAATCAAGCGATCAACAGTCACCTGATTATACTAGACTGACTTTGAACCGATTAATCTTAAGATCCATGGGGAGAATTAAACGATCATATGGTTCGGACGTTTTATTTTATGTCCGTTCATTTGTACAAGTTACCCTCCTTTTATCAACCAGACTCTCATTGGTCAATGACCTAGGCCTAGGGAGTACCACAAACTTCCAAAACTAGAAAGACCTTCCAACCAAAAATCCTTGTCAAACAAACTTTCATTCTTTCATTCTCCATCACACACACATTCACCACCTTCAACTTCATCAAATCCATCCATCCATCCAATTCAATTAAAAGTTAATGTTTTGTGGTGTGGATCAGTGAATGGAAGTGATAAAGAAAGGGCACCATCCTTCCTTCATTCATCCATCCAATAGTACTATTGGATAGATGAATGAAAGTAGGTGCAAGTTATCATGGTTGAAACATCAAGGTAAGTTTTATTTAGCCTTAGATGTTATGAATGAATGGGTAATTCAAACATTCATTGGCTGCTCGTTGCCATCTATCCTCATCTGACACAACCTCTTCATGAATCACAATTGATGATGATGGACCTATAATCATCAAAGACAGACAGACATCTGGTGACCTGTACCATCATCATCCCCTACCCGCCCCCATGGTCCGTTGCCTGTTTGCCCTAAACATGTGTTTGTGTGTGTGTGTGTGATTGATCGCTCACCACTCCCTCACACACACAACCCTAATGGGTTAGTTTAAACACACAACCTCGCCAATCAATCACATTCACACACACACACATCATTGATTGATCAATATGTGTTGGGTACATGTTACCTTAGTGTCAGGTCAGTTCAGTTCTAGATGAAGGCACCTGAATATAGACCATTGTTCTAGACAACAAACATCAAAGGCCATTTCCATCCCAATCCCAATCCAATTATCTCTTTCTCTCTCTCCATCACTCTCCCCTTCATTCATTCCATTCATTCATTCATTCCTTCCTTGTAATATAAATATATAACAACAAATAATACTTGATCATCAATCATTATTCAATAACAAATCATGACTGAGACCAAGAAGACCTGGATTGATGTCCAGAAAAGGGTATGTTTACAAATTAGGATGTCAATATCCTGGAATCATTCCACTCACACACTCAATAAATCAATCTAACAATCATTATTGAAACATTAGACATTCACTGGATGGGCCAATAACTACTTGAAGGAACGTATCCTGAAGATCAATGACCTGGGCACTGACTTGGAGGATGGAACCAACTTGATCAACTTGCTCGAGATCATTTCGAGCAAGAAGATTCTCAAGTACAACAAGCAGCCCAAGATCAGAATGCAAAAGATCGAGAACAACAACATGGCCGTGAACTTTATCAAGCAGGAGGGCCTCAAGTTGGTGGGCATCGGTGCCGAGGACATTGTCGACGGCCAGCTCAAGCTCATCCTCGGTCTGATCTGGACGCTCATTCTCCGCTATCAGATCCAGATGTCCGAGAACGACTCGCCCAAGGCCGCCCTGCTCGAGTGGGTGCGTGGCCAGGTCAAGCCATACGGCGTTCGCGTCGACAACTTCACCGACCACTGGCGCGACGGCAAGGTGCTGTCGGCGCTCACCGACTCGCTCAAGCCAGGCGTGCTCAACATGAACACGCTCAGCAACGACCCATTCACCGACGTCAACCGCGCAATGGACGTTGCCTTGGAGCAGTACGACATCCCCAAGATTATGGACCCAAGCGACATGGTTAACTTGCCAGATGAGCTCTCCGTCATCACCTACGTGTCTTACTTCCGTGACTACGCCCTCAACAAGGAGAAGCGCGACAAGGAGGCTGCCGAGGCATTGGAGCGCAAGCGCCGCACCACCTCTGAGCCCTCCCAGGTTCTGGCCTACGGCCCAGGTCTGGAGCATGGATTCGTCAACGTGCGCGGTGACTTCACCATCAAGGCCATCAACTACTATGGTGACCCCCTGGCCAATGGAGGTGAGAACTTCACCGTCGCCATCGTTGGTGCCAACGGCGTAGCAGTGCCAGTCAACTTGGTCGACCGCAACAACGGTACCTACGACGGAAACTACACTCCAAAGGACCCACAGGACATCACCATCAACATCCGTCTGGACGGTGTCGACGTCAAGAACTCACCATTCCGCGTGCGCATCGATGGCTCTGACCCCAATGAGTCCAACGCCTACGGCCCAGGTCTCGAGGGTGCCAAGGTTGGAGTGCAGGCTCCATTCAAGATCCAAGGTCGCAACAAGGAGGGCCAGGCCACCACCCGTGGTGGAGAGGAGTTCACCGTCAAGGTTAGCGGACCAGCTGGCAACGTGCCAGCCAACGTCCACGACAACAACGACGGCTCGTACGACGTTGTCTACACCCCAACCAAGGGTGGTGAGCACCGCGTCGAGGTGTTCCTGCGTGGAGTGCCTCTGGCCCAGGGACCAACATCGGTCCGCGTGCTCAACTCTGATGAGAACAACTCATATTGCTCTGGTCCAGGCTTTGAGAAGGCCCAGGCACGCCGCCCCACCGAGTTCACTATCCACTCGATTGGCGCCAATGGCAAGCCAGCCGCCGATGGTGGCGACCCCTTCCAGGTGTCCATCTCTGGCCCACACCAGGTGGACGTGTCCATCGCCGACAATGACGACGGAACCTACACCGTTGCCTACACCCCAGAGAAGCCAGGTGATTATGAGATCATCGTCACGCTCAACGACAAGCCAATCAAGGACATCCCCAAGGAGATCCACATCAAGCCCGCTGCCGACCCCAACAACTCCTACGCCAAGGGTCCAGGTCTCGAGGGTGGCGAATGCTTCCAGCCATCAAAGTTCAAGATCTTTGCCGTCGACCCCGACGGAGTTGCCCGCAAGGATGGTGGCGACGGCTTCGTCGTAACTGTCGAGGGCCCAGCCCCAGTCGAGCCCTACATGGTCGACAATGGTGATGGTACCTACGACGTCGAGTTCGACCCCAAGGCTCCAGGCGACTACAAGATCAACCTCACTCTTGACGGCGACACTGTCAATGGATTCCCCAAGACTGTGCGCATCAAGCCCGCACCCTCAGCCGGACACTCATACGCCAAGGGTCCAGGTCTCGTCGAGGCCTTTGACAATGCAGTTGCCGAGTTCACCATCTTCTCGATTGACACTTACGGCAAGCCAAGAACCGACGGAGGCGACCCCTTCGTCGTTGCCATCAAGGGTCCAGCCGGCAAGGTGGACGCTCAGGTGCGCGACAACAACGACGGCACATACCACGTGCAGTACGAGCCATTGGTCGAGGGCAACTACACCATCAACGTCAGCCTGCGCGACGCCCCCATCAAGGACATGCCCGTCACGGTCAAGTGCATTGAGGGCGCCGACGGCGACCAGAGCTCATTCGGCTCGTTCACATTCACCGTCACCGCCAAGAACAAGAAGGGCGAGAAACAAGACCTACGGAGGCGACAAGTTCGAGGTGTCGATCACCGGCCCCGCCGAGTTCATCCAGCTGGACGCCATCGACAACCAGAACGGAACCTACACCGCCGCCTACTCACTCCAGGGTAATGGCCGTTTCGCCACCGGCGTCAAGTTGAACGGCAAGCACATCGAGGGCAGTCCATTCAAGCAAGTGTTGGGCAACCCAGGCAAGAAGAACCCAAGCGTCAAGACCTTCACAACCACCGCTTCAGCCAACATGTAATCAAACTAAAACAATAAAATCGACATGACCATGGTCATGATCATGTGTAATCAATGCTAATGTTGTTGGGTGCTTGGAGAGTCATTCATTGATTGATTGAATGATGGCAAGGCGGGTATACCAGCCAACTGTCCACCCACCCATCATGTCTCCTCAATCAATCAATCAAATTGGTGATGCCAATCCACCGACATATGTCGACAACCTTGTCGCTGGCTCAGTGCAAATATGCCCATTCGCCGGGGCCATTTGGATAAATGCCAACAATCAAGGAATAAACGAATAGCACCCTGGTCATGACAGTTGCCAATCAGACCGATCACATGATAGCGATGTTATCCATCTAGGATAAGTAAGCCTCACACCCAGAGTCCTGATGTTCAGGCGCCTTTGTCGCTTCGCTTCTAGACGAGTGTCTAATATGCTGTGTTTCTTAGGCGACAAAGTTTTCCCTCAACTTCTTTTAGTTGTTTGATCAAAAACGATCATTCACACCCCCATCACACCCCTTTGATCAATCAAATAACTCTCAAATTCGATTTTTGATCAATCAATCATTCACTCCATAGACACACAAACACGAATGTTTGAATACGTCATGGTCATAGAAGTTGTTAGCCAATCATCGATCTGGGGGTATAGGCAAACTCCCCATTATTGAAACAACGGCTCGCACATAGGCCACTCGCCCACAAATCTTTCAGTGCATCACCTTGATTGGCAGGTAGGTTGGCCAAGGCCGTGTCCGTTTGCCTCATCACCAAAACCAGCGATGGTCACACCATTACGCAAAAGGTAACACCTAGGCCATCCATACCTCTAGACGTTTAGGTACTTGACAGACTGACCATTAAAAGAGACCCTTAGACTGCGTCTCCTTTTCCATGTACTTTTCATTGAGCTGTAATCTCGACCTTTCTTTCTTGATCAAGCTGATGTATGGTATGGATCAAACAAACAAACAAACACACTTCACTTAGGCCTACCTTGTACAATGCAATGTGATGTGAGGAAGAGAGGTCATCAACCTTTGCAAAGGATGATTCCGGCTGTCTGTCTGTTTGGCCCAATCAATCAATCTATGTCAATCAACCAATCACTGACTCTCTCATTCACTCATTCATTCAATCATTCAGGCAATCAATCAGACCAAAGACAACCAACCAACCAATCAATCAATCTCGCTCACTCAATCAATCATTCTCACTCAATCAAGAGTGTGATCACTACTGATCTCATTATTGTATTAACTTTATATATGTATATAGATAGAGACAGATAGATATATAGGATGTCAAACTGTTTGATCATGAACAACCATCATCCCTATGAACTATTGCCTCAGCCATTCACTGGGAGTTCATCACAATCACAATCACAGTCGTCATTATCACCGTCACATCAAGGCTTCAGGTCCAGGATACCATTTGCAAACACACATTCACAACAACATCAGCATCAACATCAACAACTACATCTTCATCCTCAACCATCACAACAACAATATAGGAATTCCACAGGACCTCAACTTAGTATACCTCCCATAAATAGTTTGGCCTCATTTGATGGCCACCAAGGTCAAGGTCATGGACAGAATAGAACCTCATCACCTTTCTCCACACCGCCACTGATCAGCCAGACTCCAGAAGGCTCCACTAAAACAAACACAAACTCATCCAGATTGTCGCCAGTCCCACCAACCATACTCCCACCACTCAAGTCCTCGCCACTTCTCCTCTCCAACAACAACAACAACTACCGACAACATGATTCACCATTCCCCGGAATATTGAGCAAAGATACCCCGGAGCTACTAAACTTCCATGTGGCCACCACGCCACTCAATGACCGCCAGATCAATGAGATAATGCTCCGCATTGAGGAGCAACAGGGACACCATCACTTCCCATCACTCTCAGAATGGTCAGCCGCCATACCAACCTCATCTTCTTCAACATCATCCTCCAAGTACAGCCGGCCACTGCCTCCACCCCCAATGCTCAACAATCCATTTATTGAGAGGCCATCACTCTTGCCCCAAGGTGGTCATTCATCATTCACTGCTGGCGGAGGCGGCGGCAGTGTAGGTGGTAGCGGCAGTGGCAGTAGTCTTGCCAATAGTGGTGATGGACATATTACATTACAAGGAGCTTCCTCTTCTTCACCATCTTCGGAAAAGGTCACTGGTGGCAGGTCAATATCACCAGGAGACAGTCCAGTACTTGGACTCTCTCAGTCTCAACCAATGGCAAGCACCTCCAAATCCACATCATCTGGTGGCTCCAACAAACAATGCCGAACACCCTTCTGCATTGTCTGTGAACAGGGTCCACCAAAGTCCTTTCAAAAGGGCACCCCCATATGGTATGAATCTGATCCCGACGCTGAGGCCGAGGTTGAGGCTGGAACTATCCCACCCTGGACTAACATCAATCAAACAGGTCACAAATACTTCATTTGGTATTATACTCTTTGGCCGAGTCATCGAGACTGAGTTTGGCACAACAGGGCAATCGCAGCCGCTCCGACATGCCACTGCGCAAGAAGTACTTCCATCTCCGTGATGAGATATATGAATACATCCAAATACATTGGGATATCATTTGTAAACGTGAGAGTATGTATTTCAAGGCCTTGGAAAGTCTCGCCTTATGCCGCCACATCATACTTACTCTTCTCCTCAACAGGGATACAAAACTGGAAACATACTATTGGTATGACCTTGTCACATTACCAGGGATTGTTCAAGAGTGGATATGATGTATTCCACAACACAGGTTATTGGTGTCTGAAGGATGAGGTGTCCAGCCCATACGAGCCCGAGGTAGAGTCTGACACCAAGAAGCGTCGCATCACCCGAAGTGATAATGTCGAGTTGAAGAAGTTCCTCTCCAACAACAACAACAACAATAACAACAACATGTAGATAGAGAGAAAGATACAAGTCATATATATACCATATATAATATATAAACAATACACTGCCCGGCCTTGTGTCGCGAAGCATTTTAATCAGTATCTTACTCGAGATTGCTTACATGTACCATTAGACGTCGCTCGTTGGGGTCGCCACTGTTGGACACTACTGTCAGCTTCTTCTCTTTGATCATCTTATTGATGAGCGCCCGCATACAGTTGGTCTCGGCCTCAACGTCCGTCAGGACATCGGCCTCTTGCTCCGATTGAATGTACCACTCGAGTATTTCGCGCTGTAGCTTGCCCTCGTTCATCTTCCTGAGATAGAGCAAGATCACTTGGCATAGCTCGTGGTACTTCTCCGATGAGATGACCATTAGTTCGCCATCGGGCATCTCCAGGTCGACGTCCTCAGAGCGCACATGCACCACAGACTTCTTCAGCAGTCTGGCGGCCTCGTGCACGTGCTTTGGAAGCACCTTGTCCGAGAGCATCAGTCTGGCGTATGCTTCAGACAGTCTAATCATCGACTCCAACTGTCTGACTGTAATCCTATATGCTGCGCCACCGGCTCCACTCAGTGATACGTCATTTCTCAGCTTCTTGTAGTATTCCTCAAACAGCTCTGCTGCCTCTGGTGTAATCTTTGATTGGATGGATGATTGAGCGAGGGTTAGTGAGGTGTGGCATGTGAGTGAGGATCGTGTCACTATCGGCTGACTTACAACTGGATTGTAGGTCTTGGCGTAGGCAATGTAGTTCTTGATGTCGTCTAATGAGAAGTCTCGCTCGATGCCCTCTTTCTTTTGATGCACGGCCACGATATGTTGCGCAATCATCTTGTCCAAGTCTGCATTGCACTCGTCCGTCACAATGAAGAACAAGTCGAATCTCGACATCAATGCCGCGCCAATGTTTAGGTTGGCCTTCAATGATTTGGTCTTGTCGTATCTACCTCCAATTGGGTTGGCTGCGGCCAGGATACTGGCACGTGCGTTCAAGGTGGCGTGGATGCCGGCCTTAGCGATGGAGATGGTCTGTTGCTCCATTGCCTCGTGAATGGCCACTTGATCGGCGGGGTCCATCTTGTCAAACTCGTCGATGCAACAGATGCCATTGTCTGCAAGCATTAGTGCGCCTGCCTCTATATTGAAGTCGCCAGTGTCTGGATCCCTGACGACGGTGGCCGTGAGACCGGCCGCAGACGAGGCCTTGCCTGACGTGTAGACCGTGCGCGGCAGGAACGACACCAGGTACTTGAGGAACTGACTCTTTGATGTGGAGGGATCGCCCACGATGCACACATTGATATCGCCACGCAGTCTGATCTTCTCTGGTGTCTTCTTGTGCACACCGCCAAAGAGCATCAGCAGCACGCCCTTCTTGATGTCCTCGTGGCCAAAGATCGATGGGGCAATCGATGACACCAAACGACTGTACAACCTCTTTGACTTTAGCATCATCTCCAACCTATCTCGCTCATTCTTTGGCAAAGCCTCCATGAATGACTCTGGAGTCTGAGCGCTGGATGCCACAGCCTCTGAGTTCTCCTCTTTGATGTTCAGTGCCCTTATCTAATTGATTGATTGAAGTGAGTGGAGTGATTTCAGAGTGTCCAGCGCTTTCCATCTTACTTACACTTGATCCATGTGAGCGTACACAGGTGGAAAGGAAACAGAGACGGTAGGACATCTCGCGTACACCTAGATCCTTCATGCCGGATACTCCACCAAAGTCCTCGGACTTGGACCCGGCACCCTCGGATGAGACATTGGACGAACCTCGAATGATTGTGGCGTTCTGACCAATCTGCATACGCGACACATCCGGGATGACCATGAGCGTGCCGTAGAAGATCACCTTGTCTCCGGCGCGCGCCGACTCGACCGCCTCGCCACGCAGCACAATGTCGATGGAGCGCGGCATGCTGCCCGACGGGATGTCCTCGCTGTTCTCCTGAATGCGCACCTTTTGCCAGTCGCAAAACGTCGACGTCTCCATGCAGATGTTCCAGCGACGATTGTTGCTGCAGGAGGGCATCGTGCACTTGATTGGCTCGGTATACTTGAACTCCTGGGGCACCTTGTCCGAGTAGTTGCGGCAGTCCATGCAGATGAATGAGCCGATCAGCAGCTCGGGGCGGATCTCGCTGGCCCTCGTCACGGTGCCTGTGATGGCCGCCAGACGGCCCACCATCTGTGTCCGCAGCTGGCGGATCTTGAGCACGTCGGGCATGTTGTAGAAGCACACCTGGTAGGTCTTGGTGCCGGCCGCGCCATCCGGCTTGTTGATGAATAGTTGCGGGTGATGTCTACGCGCCAATATTGTCACGCAGCGATTGAGCGTTTGTTCGTGGCGAAGGTATTCGCAAGAGATTACATTGGCCAACACATTATCATGAGATGACAAATGTTGATAGTCAACATACAAGAATGATCCATCATTCATTAGCATATCCTTTATCTGTTGTCTATATAATATATATTCTTTGTCTGCACCTTTCTTGCCACGTCCACCTCCATCTTTATCCATATCCATTGCGTCTTCATCTTCATCTTCGTCATCTTCGTCTTCATCTTCCTCTTCCTTTTCATCTATATTACTATTATTATTACTATTCTTGTTGCGATTACGATTGATTCGATTGTGGATACTATCTTTGAAGCACTCTATGAAGGCGATGAAACGCTCTTGTACCATTTGTTGAGCTTCATCTATAACTTTGTTTGTTGTTGGTGCTGCAACAGATGGTACACCGCCACCAGTATCAATATGTTGTTGTGCAACCATCCTATATCCTATATCCTATCCTATCCTATCCTATCAATATATATATAACTATATACCTAACTATCTCTATCTCTATCTCTCATCAAATTGAAGTTGAATGAATGCTTCACTTTGGCGCGAAGTTTGAAAGAAAGCGCCAAAAATTGAAAAGTGGTGTGCGAGGGAATGTCCGCGAGGGTAAGTGTGCGAGGGTATGTCTGTGAGGGTATGTCCTCGGTGAGGGCAAGGGTATGCAAAGATCGATGTCGTTTTAACTTAAGGCTTTATTAATTTAGTTGGTCTTGGCCTTCTTGTTTTGTTGCTTCTGTGGCTGTTGTCCACCCTCTCTCTTGACTTGTTGTTGTTGCTGTGGAGCAGCCTTCTTGCCATTCTGTTGTGGTTGTTGTGGTTGCTTCTTTGGCTCGGCGGCGGCAGGCTTTTGTTGCTGCTGCTTTGGCTGCTGTGGCTGCTTCTTTGGCTGTTGTGGCTTGGCGACTGGAGCATCCTCGACGATCTCCTTAATCTTGCCAGCGGCAGCATTGTTCTTCTTCAGCTGTGGGATCTCCTCCTCCATCTCCTCCTCATCAGAGAATGAGCCAAACTCACACTCCTCATCCGAGCAATCTGGATCATGATCAAACTCCTCACCATCCTCCTCACCCTGGAAGATCATTGATCCACAAAGTGATACCTCAGCGTTCATATCTACGTGATCATGATTATCAACATGTTAGTTAGTTAATGTATGATTGATTGATTGATTGATTGAAGGTGAATGTATATACATACCTCCCTCGATGGTGAAGATGACCTTGACGGCACTGTCAAAGTGGAGATCAAGGGCGACTTGGTCAACCTTGTCTGGGTTCAGAATGCAGACGGTGATCTTCTCTGGCTCGAGCTCAGCTGGAGCATCTTGACCGTCCATCATCTCGTACTCCTCAACGACATTAGCGATGAGGTAAACCTTCTTAGTGGCCTTTGACTTTGATGTGAAGACAGCCTATAATTATTCATTCATTCATGTTTGATTAGTATGAGCAAAGTGATTGATTGATCGATTGATGGGATGATGATGCTTACCTGTGTAAGATGGAAGACGACGCCATCCTCGAGCTCAATCTCGAAAGGCTCCTCCTTGTTAATGATTGTACCAAAGAAACTCATTGTGTGTATGTATGTGTATATGTGTGTATAGGTGTATGTATAAGTTTAAGTTATTTCGCAATAAATTAATGATTGATTGAATTACATTCGTTCGCTTTTTGATTCGATTTCACACAAAACACTCGTCGACTTCGTTTTTTTTATTAATTAATTCATTTTAAAATAAAGTGAGAAATATTTATTCTAAGATTATATTATAATATAATAATTATCCTTTCTTTTATATATATATTCTTTTTATAACTATTTATTAATATTATTTATTGTCTTTAATTATTTATAGAATGAATGAGTGAGGGAGAGAATGTCTCGTTTTCTTTATTTAGATACAATCTTACTCGACTCAGATGACATTCACTGACCTTCTAGTCAATTGTCTGAATGAATGATCGAATGAATGATATGTTTATTATGAAGTTACTGTTGGTGACATCGAAATTGAGTGGTCGGGACATTCTGTTGTGTGAGAATGTCTTCGGGTTCAGGAAGTCAAAGAATGAAAAGGGGTGTGCTTGGGCTCAACCAATCAGTCAATCAATCAAGTCAATCATTGTGATACTTCACAAGTTTAGTATTATTATTAGTATAAGTGAACATTATGTCAATGATCATGAGTAACAATCTTGGTTGTGCTGCATTGCGCACATTGAGAAGGATATGTCCAATGACATCAAGACAACACATTGCCTCCTCATCTACATACTTGTCATCACAATCACATTCCCTCAACAATACCTTCAACAACTTCAATAACAGACACATTACAACATCAACATCAACATCAACATCAACTTCAACATATACTTCATCACAAACAAGACAATACTCATCATTCAGAAATAGACAATCAAGTAACAACACAACACAACAACAACAGCAACAACAACAGCAAAATGGTAATGATGAAGATATATCAATGGATACATTGACATGCTCAGCGATATGCCTTTCAAAGTCATTCAAGAAGGAGTTGCATTCATTACCAGACAACTTCTCATTGGAGAAGGTGTTCCACGTCAGCAACGTCAGATGGCTAAGATACAATGGTGGCGAAAAGGGTGGCGACGCATTCGTCTTTCCATCATTTGGCTGCGTCATCTCGTGGGGCATCCCCGAGGATGCTCAACGCACACTGCTCACATGGCTCAAGGAGTACGAGGTCGAGGGCAACCAGCCGCCTCAGCTCGACAGCTACGTGTACACTGATGGTGGCTCACGCTTCGAAATCACCAAGAGTCGCGAGATCATCACACTGTCTGCGGATCCTGCGGCCAACCTCAACGAGAAGTTTGCCGTCTCCTATGCATTTGCTCAGTCCGTTCGTCTATTCCTCATTGAGGACGATGTCATCAAGCTCAGCGAGAAGGTGGCACAACTCCCCGATGAACTATCCAAGCATGGCACCGTTCGTATCTCCAAGAAAGAGATTGGCAAGCAGTTGGGCGAACAAATGAAGATCAAAAACTACCTGAATCTTCACTCTGATATCATCGATACACCTGGTAAGTACTGTAGTTGCTTGCACTCATTGTGAGGTAGGTGATCACCTTGTTATAGCCTGTTGTAGCTGACCCAAAGTACCATCCATGGATCTATCCACTCATCATCCATCAACTCAGAGCACTTCTGGGAACATACCGAGGGTGAGGGTATATATAAGATCGTTAGGAGTCATTGTGAGATTGACAAAAGGGTACGCATTATGAACGAGAGACTTAATCTGATCAGTGGTATCTACGATGTTATTAATGATGAGCAGAAGCACAGTCATTCCATCCGTTTGGAACGTATCATTATTGCACTGATTGCCATCGAGGGCACTTCAGGCATTCTGCACTGGTTCTACTGATGACAATCCAGTCAGCTGACCGAATGATTGACGAGTGATCCATTCCACCACGTTTGAAATAAAATGAACCGACCATCACATATCCCTCCATCATCAGCATTCCATTCATAGTCCTAGGTACTGCACAATTCGCCTTAAGGCGCCACTAATCTTGTTTAAACTAACAACAACCACAATGATCAACCAATACAAGTTTCTTCCCCTTCCTTCTTTCCTTTCCTTTCCTTGGAGGTGGCACATTGACAATTAAGATTAAGGTAGCTAGCTACTAGCTACTAGAACTCTCACTCAGTCGAATTGTATGGTAAATGTGGTCTATGGCTAGGATTACATCTGCTGAAAGTGATCATACGACACACATGTATATTCTGTTTAAAGTAGACGACCAAAATTAAGATAATTGGTTGTTCTGTTTGTGTGTGATAGACTGATTGAGTGTGTGAGAGTGTGTGTTTGTGGTCATGTGATTGATTGCTTGGCAGTGCATCACCAGATTTAAGTAAAGTAATTGTGGGTAATGTGGTAGGAATGTGATCACACTCATAAAATTATTACTCTGATCACTGACATTAGTAGGACTAGCTGGCAACACAGCCAGCCACACTACTCCACTCCCCTCTTCCCTCTCCACTGTACAGAATGATCATCATATGCTTAAAGTGTTAAGTGTTAACACTAAGTGTGGAGAAGTCGAAATGAAATGCATTGCTCACTGCCAAGTGTGTTATATACAACAATAAGTATGCATTTAATGCTAGCATTACACCTCCACTACAACAGACCCCATGGCACTCGCCGCCAACTATTAACCAATACCCCCTCCTTTGAAACGGTAACATTAATGTATACTCAGTCATTCAGTCAGTCAGTGGCACTACACCTGTAAAGTGGATCATATGAGAGAGGAGAGTGAGTGATGGAGTCAGCCCTTGGAGTGTGAGCATTTGAAACCCTCCTTGATTAGACTTGCGCAACAACAATCATAACTTTAATCAATTAATACTCCATCATCATTACTTTATATCTCAATCTTATTGTTATTGATCAATTAATCAAATACAAACTACAACAACAACCAACAAATATATTAATATATATATATTCCTTCCATTCAATCAATAACAATATATTTAAATAACATAAACAAACCAACAAACAACAACTACAACACCATGGCACGAATCAACTCAAAGTCATTGTTGATCCTGCTATCAATATTTCTGTTGTGCTCAGGTAAGACAATGATCATCACTCATCCACATCATCTTAGTTTAGGGCAGCTTGTATGTGAGTGAGTGGACAATTAATTAATATTAATGTATATATGATGGAATTTGATTGATTGATTGAAATTATTACCATTTTTGGCGATTATCATTTACCATACACACTTTCCACACACTCATTCCAACTTGCAATCACATCCCATACATCATCCTCACAATACTTATACTAACACTTTTTTATAGAGTTTGCATCTGCGGACATGTCTCCAGCATGGGGACAGTTCTCATGCAACAATAAGGTCTGTGGAAGAAATGAGATTTGCTGCCAGCCATCCGCTGCCCTCTCCCCAACCTGTTTCAACAAGTGTCGTTTCCTCAAGTGTCCAGGTTCATTGATCTGTGACGATTCTCAGGCCTCGCCAAGATGTGTTATGGCTCCACCACCCATTACCACGGCCCCAATCACAACCTCGGCTCCACTGACAACCTCCCAGGTGACCACCTCCCAGGTTACTACTACTGCGTCCACAACTGTCACTACGACTGCTTCGACCACCAACTTGCAATCGTCGATCACTGCCACTACCACAGTCTCGACCACTGCCACCTTGGGCGGTACCTCGTCGTCGCCAACGACCTCTTTCCCATCGACTACTTCTCAGGTCTCCTCATCATCCGAGCCAGCCTCCTCCGAGTCTGCCTCATCTGAGGCTTCCTCATCGCAGGGTGCCTCCTCTGAGTCCTCCTCAACACAGCCAGCATCATCTGAGTCCTCCTCGTCACAGCAGGCCTCCTCATCTCATGCTGGAGATCAATCGTCCTCATCACAGGAACCCCCTTCGACTACCTCGACACCAGCTACTACCTCGACACCAGTTACCACCTCGACACCAGTTACCACCTCTACACCAGTGACTACCTCTACACCAGTTACCACCTCTACACCAGTAACTACCTCGGCCCCAACCACCACTTCCCAGGTAACTTCTCAGCCAACTACCACCTCGCAGGCAACCGCACCAGTGACATCTACCACCCAGACTAGTGGACAAACTACCGCCACCACTGCCCCAGTCACTTCAACTGGCACCACACCAGCTACCTCCACTGCTCCAGCCACTACTGCCACCACTGATATGAGCACCGCCCCAGCTACCACTGCTCCAGCTACCTCTACTGCCCCAGCTACCTCTACTGCCCCAGCTACCACCGCTCCAGCTACCTCTACTGCTCCCGCCACTACTGCCACCACTGACATGAGCACTGCCCCAGCTACCACCGCTCCAGCTACCTCAACTGCTGCTCCAACCACAACAACTGCTGCTCCAACAACTACTGCTGCTCCAACAACCACTGCTGCTCCAACRACYACTGCYGCTCCAACWACCACTGCCGCACCAACTACCACTGCTGCACCAACTACCACTTCTGCTCCAACTACCACTGCTGCACCAACAACCACTGCCGCACCAACTACCACTGCTGCACCAACRACCACTGCTGCCCCAACRACCACTGCTGCACCAACWACCACTGCTGCTCCAACGACCACTGCTGCACCAACAACCACTGCCGCACCAACAACCACTGCCGCACCAACTACCACTGCCGCACCAACTACCACTGCTGCACCAACTACCACTGCTGCTCCAACGACCACTGCCGCACCAACTACCACTGCTGCTCCAACGACCACTGCTGCCCCAACTACCACTGCCGCACCAACTACCACTGCTGCACCAACTACCACTTCTGCTCCAACGACCACTGCCGCACCAACTACCACTGCTGCTCCAACGACCACTGCTGCTCCAACAACCACTGCCGCACCAACTACCACTGCTGCACCAACTACCACTGCTGCTCCAACGACCACTGCCGCACCAACTACCACTGCTGCTCCAACGACCACTGCTGCTCCAACAACCACTGCCGCACCAACAACCACTGCTGCACCAACTACCACTGCTGCTCCAACAACCACTGCCGCACCAACAACCACTGCCGCACCAACAACCACTGCTGCACCAACTACCACTGCCGCACCAACTACCACTGCTGCACCAACTACCACTTCTGCTCCAACTACCACTGCTGCACCAACTACCACTGCTGCACCAACTACCACTGCTGCACCAACTACCACTGCCGCACCAACTACCACTGCTGCACCAACTACCACTGCTGCACCAACTACCACTGCTGCTCAAACCACAACTGCTGCACCAACAACCACTGCTGCACCAACTACCACTGCTGCACCAACAACTACTGCTGCACCAACGACCACTGCTGCTCCAACCACAACTGCTGCACCAACTACCACTGCTGCACCAACAACTACTGCTGCACCAACAACTACTGCTGCACCAACGACCACTGCTGCACCAACAACTACTGCTGCACCATCCACAACTCAATAAGCATCCTTCATTGGGGGGGGTAGCACCAACTTATTTAGTTGTTCAATTACCAATATTATTACAAGATTAAAAGATATATCATTTCGCTCGTTGACCTCTCTTTCTATCGTTACTATTCTGTAGTCCTTGCTGTTGATGATGGAGTGTGACAATTGATTGAACGAATGAGGAAATGATTGTTCGGTGCGATACTAAATGACAAGGCTATGCCATCCCGCTCCTTAGTACTGTGTGTCCACACTTCTTTCCATCTGGTCAGAATTTTCCTTCTTTAACGCAATGACCAATGATAAACAACAATGCCAGCGCAATGTGAACATGACGAGAGCTTTTGGAAAGACTTTTGAACAGTTGTCGACAACAAAAACAATAGAAAAACGATCAGTATGTACTTAATTGGCGGCAAAGGCAACTTCGGAATCAGACTCGGAGTGATATGGCTTGTCTCCGGGTTAGGCCTAACCCATTAGTGATCATCTTTTTTGCAGCCGACGTTGGGTCTACACAATGCTCACCTGGGTAAATGTGTATGTTTATGTTCCTGTATCATCTGTCCGATCACCTGATCATGATGTGAACAACAGCGCAATGGACGAGTCAGCAAGGCCCACAAATAAACAATCGTGTTACCGACCCCCCAACAAAAGATTACATTTGAATGTTTTGTAATGTTGGAAAGTTTGTACAATGATTCACAGTAGTGTTTTTTTCGAGATGGATTCTTCGTCTCTCGAATCAAAGTGTGTTAATGTGTGTGTTAGAGATATTTTTCATCCTAATTATCGGTTGATGGATAATTATTTATATTTATATTTATATATTTGTTTTTTTTGTCAAAACTGTGTGAATGTGTTCAATCCAATTGGATTGAGAGTGTGGGGCAGCTGCGGAAAGGACAAGTCTTTGCGACTCGTGTGTGTGGCACACACACAACCAGCCAGGTATCTAAGCGCGCGGGCGTCAAGCCAGCCAGCTGAGTCGATAGTAGTTTGTTTGTGTTTACAAGAGAGCGTTCACTCCCAATCAACATTCATTCACTCCTTCTCCTCTCTCTTGGTTCTCCCGGACTTGACAGATAGCAACCCTTGATATCAAAGGTATGTCCCATTGACCATTGTCAACAAACACTTATCTCTTTGCCTCTCTCTCTACGACTACAACTACACAATTGGATGCCAACAACAACAACAAAAAAAAAAGTGAGGTGCGGCGAGGGATTGATAGATGTCAGCTCTGCCCCATTCATTGTCTACACAACTGATCGATTGATTGATTGAAGTAATCGATGGATGGTCGCAAAGGCAAAGGAGTTGAAGGAAAGGGGAGGAGGCTATTCATCTCGCGAGCCACGAGATCAGCATCTAATGCATGTGACATACCCTCCATGTGATCACCACAACATAACATCATATTATCATTCATTCATTCATTCATTCAATCATTCAATCATTCCATTCATTCAATCTTATACCCTGCTGTCCCGGGTTTGTCTCGGCTCAACCAACTCTCATTATCATTGTTTAAACTACTCATATAACCATCTACTATAATTCTTGACGATTCAATCGAACTATCCCTACACTCGAAGTGTCATCGGTTAGAATGCTCGGCTCTGGCTGGGGCCGATATATGTCACCATGGTAGTAGTGTGTCGTGTCCTGTCTGTCATGTCGTGTCATGCCACTCATCCACCTCACACACACACACACACACACACACATTCACACTCTTGGAAAGGGATATCCGCGCGGGGATGTTACCGCTGACGGCGAACAATACACAACAACAAACATGTCACTAACATCTAATTGAACAAACATAACAAACAGGAAGGATAATAACATACATACATACAAATAACAAACTAAATACATATACATATATACATTATATATAATGGTCAGACCTCTACATATCGTCTTGGTTCTCGCAGCCTTGACGGTGTACCTGCACACATCCAGTGCATCCTACTTCTCTAATGTTCAATCATATAACACGACATTGGGATGTTCGATGTACGGACTCAATGCAAGCTACATCGAGAACAGGACATTCGCTCCATCAAAGGTATGTTGTTGTTGATATCAAGCTCACCTCATTCAATTAATTAATCAATCAATCAATAATACTGACGCCACATCATCATCATTCATTCATACTATTATAGCCAGACCCAGAAATAGCCAATAACACTTGCCAGTTGGTACATCCAGAGTACAGCGAATTGGCATGTTGCAATAATGCCCAATCATTGGTGCTCAAGAATAATATGTTCATTGGTGCCAGTATCTTTGGAAGATGTCCCGCCTGTCTGTTCAACGTTTGGGATCTCTGGTGTGCCATGTCTTGCTCACCATACCAAGCCGAATTTATTATCGTCACGGCCGTCAAGACGCCCAACGTCACCGACGCCAAGATCACCAAGACAGAGTTCATCCTGGACCCGACGTACGCCAGCGGCCTGTACAACAGTTGTCGAGACGTCGACTCCAACGGAGCCGGTCCAATCGGCCAGTACTACACCAACTATCCCGACTTCTTCAACAACCTGTTCGGCTCGCAGAACCCAGCCTTCAAGATCCAGTTCGTCTTTGACCCAATCAAGGGCTATGGCAACGACATCGTGCCCTGCGCGGCCACCTGCTCCTGTGACAGCTGCAGAGATTCCTGTTACGCCCCCGAGGTCTTCAACGGTCTCACCTTCAACAACTCGCTCCCAACCACCGAGCTCTTCAACAAGAAGATCCCATTCCTCTCGCTCTGGTTCATCTACTCATACATGGCCTTCATTCTGACGCTGTGCGGTGCCTTTGCCCTGAACTACACCTTCCAGCTGTTCAAGCGCACCAACCGCGCCAGCTGGATCTACGTCGCCTACGCACTCATCCTCATCTACCTGTCCGGTCTGCTGGTGCCCCTTCTTGCCGGAGTCGACCCCGCCTCGTCGGCCGAGTGCACCTACCAGATGCCATACGGACACAAGTGGGACTGTGGCCTAGCAATCTTCATCTCGATCTACATGCCCGTCGTCGTCATCTTCTTTGCCGTGTTGTCCATCCTCTTCTACCTGTTCCAGAACCAGCTGGGCGGCAACAACCACGGTTCCTACTCGGTCACTGACTCTGGCTACTCCAACATCACATCGCTCCAGTTTGGCGACGCCGGCCAAGCCAGCTCGCAGCCCATCTCGCCCAGATACGAGGGCATCGGCATCAAGGACCCATCAATCATCCAGAAGATGTTCTTCATCTATGGCCGCGCCATCACCCGCTACCCCCTCTGGGTCGTCCTCGGATGCATCATGTTCACCATCGTCTGCTCCATCGGCATCATCAACCTGCAGATCGAGCAGGATCCAGTCAAATTGTGGGTATCCCCAGACAGTCGTGCCGCCAAGGAGAAGGCCTACTTCGACGCCAACTTTGGCCCCTTCTACCGTACCGAGCAGCTGATCATCACCAACCGTTCCGACCCCAACGCCCAGATCATCAACATGCAGAACCTCGTCACGCTCGTCGAGCTCGAGGAGGAGCTGATGGGCCTCACCACCATGTACAAGGGCGTCAACATCACCTTGCAGGACCTGTGCTTCCAGCCCACCCACAAGGGATGCATTGTCGAGTCGGTCACCGGCATGTGGCAGCGCAACATTTCCAAGATCGAGGACAACGACGTCTACGGCTACTTTGAGAACTGTCTCGGCAACCTGCTCGGACCAGAGTGCATGGACGCCATCGGCACCCCCATCAACCCCTCTGTCGTGCTGGGCGGCTGGTCAAACAACTCGATCAACGCCACCACCTTTGTCACCACCTTCCTGCTCAACAACGCCGTCGCCAACTTCTCCGTCAACGAGGCCTGGGAGTGGGTCTGGCTTGAGACCGTCAAGTCGTACAACGCACGCCCAGACTACCCCTTCCACATTGCCTTCTCGTCGGAGCGTTCCGTCCAGGACGAGCTGGCCCGTGAGGGCAAGGCCGACATTCCCACGATCGTCATCTCCTACTCGGTGATGTTCCTCTACGTGTCCCTGGCCCTCGGTCGCTACTACCCCCTACCCACTCGTTTCATGTCAATCTTTGTCAACTCGAGATTCACGCTCGGTTTGTGCGGCATCATCATTGTCGCCTTCTCTATCTCCATCTCGGTTGGTATCTGCAGCATCATTGGCATCAAGGCCACTCTGATCATTTCCGAGGTCATTCCGTTCCTTGTGCTGGCCATCGGTGTGGACAACATCTTTGTGTTGGTCAACACCTTCGAGTCGCTCCACGTCAGCACCTACAACGCCCAGACCAGAACATCCAACCGCCCAAGACCCGAGGAGACCCTCGCCCGCGCCATGGCCAAGGTTGGTCCATCCATGGCCCTTGCCTCGCTCTCTGAGTCCCTGGCTTTCCTGCTGGGCACGCTCACCAAGATGCCCGCCGTCGTCGCCTTCTCCTTCTACGCTTCCGTCGCCATCTTCTTTGACTTTTTGCTCCAGATCAGCGCCTTCTCCTGTCTCTTGGTGTGGGACACCAAGCGTTCGGAGTCAAGACGCATTGACTGTGTGCCCTGTCTTGAGCTGGACGACGGTGACAACTCTGACGACGACGAGCCCGAGAACCACTCACTCATCGAGCGCGAGTCCACCAACTCCACCTACGACGTCGTGTACAAGCGCAAGGACGGCCTCCTCAAGATGCTGTTCACCAAGTACTACGCGCCCTTCCTCATCAAGCCAATCACCAAGGTTGTCGTCATCTGCATCTTTGTCGGCATGCTGCTCACCGGTCTCTCCTTCTCCTTCCAGCTGCAGCTCGGTCTCGAGCAGCAGGTCGCCTTGCCCAGGGACAGCTATCTGCAGGACTACTTTGCCCAGCTGGCCGCACGTCTCGAGGTCGGCCCACCCTTCTACATCGTCGTCCAGGGCGAGTACAACTACACCAACTTTGAGGACCAGAACCAGCTGTGCTCGGTCGGTGGCTGCAGCCCCAGCTCAATCATCAACATTTACAACCAGGCGCCTTACGTCTTCCCCGGTATCGCGTCGTGGCTCGATGACTACATCTCCTGGTGCCAGAACGGTGCTTGCTGTCTGGTGTACGCGAACAACACATACTGCACTGATCCAAGCGACCCGTTCTGCTCGCCATGCTCTGACGTTGAGACTGGACGTCCCAACGTCGACACCTTTGTCGACCTGCTGCCCGTGTTCCTTAACTTTGTCAACACCTTTGAGTGTCCACTCGCAGGTCTTGCCTACCAGAGTGACACCCACATCACCTCCCTTGGTGACCTCGACAATGGTACCTCCCTCTCCATCGTTGCCTCCAGATTCGATGGTTTCCATACTACTCTCCGTACTCAATCAGACTTTATTAATGTATGTTATGTTCAATCAATCATGATCGTCCCAGCGCACTAACAAATCAATCAATCACAGTCACTCAAGTCTGCATACTGGGTCGCCGATCACTCAGACCTTCCAGTGTTCCCATACTCAGTGTTCTACGTTTACTTTGAGCAGTACTTGCACATCCAGGCAATCGCCGTGATGGACATTCTTCTGGCTTTGGCTGGTGTGCTCGTGGTCAGTTTGCTGATCCTCCAGAACCCAATCATCTCGATGATCGTCGTGCTCTGTGTCGGTCTGGTCTCGATCGACCTGCTCGGTGTGATGGCCGTGTGGTCCGTCAACCTCAACGCCGTGTCTGTCGTCAACGTCGTCATGGCCATCGGTATCTCCATCGAGTTCTGTGTGCACATTGCTCACACCTTCATCAATGCCCCCAAGTCCATGACCAAGGACGAAAAGGCCAAGTTTGCTATCTCCGAAGTCGGTAGTTCAATTGTCAGTGGCATCTTCATCACCAAGTTGTTGGGAGTTGTTGTACTAGGTTTCTCAAAGTATGTATCCATCAATCATCCATCCGTCCACTCATACTCACTCAATCAATCAAACAATCAAACTAGTTCTGAGATCTTCCAAGTATACTACTTCCGTATGTATATCACTATTGTAATATTAGGTGGACTCCACGGTCTTGTACTTCTTCCAGTGCTGCTGAGCATCTTTGGCACCGACAAGTTCACATTCTCCTCATTCTTCAAGTCGAAGCAAGACCCACTCTCATTACAATACAACCATCCATCCAACTATGGCACCCAATCAAACATTCAACCAATCGATGGATAAACGCCATTGACGTCGTTGGTTGACCATGCCACACCTATCCTCCTCCTCTCCTATATAACATAACTACCCATTTAAATAATAAAACCTTCGATTAGACAGGCCTTCCTTCTGCCTCGTGTAGCACATACCCTCGCAGACATACCCTCACAGACATACCCTCGCATTATTTTTTGGACTTTGACAATCTTTCGCATTCTTGCAAACAACACACTCACTTTGACGAGATACAGATACAGATAATAACGATCATATACATGTACTTAATGTTGTTAAGTTGATTAGATTGATTGATCGAGTCGACTATTCAAACAAACATAAAGAATGATAAAGAACAAAGAAGATGGCAGTATAATGGAGAAGGAGACTATATTGAATAGGACATCAAAGACAAAGGTGTGCTACTTTCATGATCATGACATTGGCAACTACTTCTATGGCATCTATCATCCAATGAAACCACATCGACTATGTCTTACAAACAGTCTCGTTCTAAACTATGGTCTGCACAAGAAGATGGACATATACAAAGCCAGAAGGGCAGATCGACAAGACCTCCTACGCTTCCATTCAATCGATTACATTGACTTTCTCGAAAGGTATGACGACAACATAGTGCATTCAATCAAACGACTCAGACTCACTCATTCATTCATTCAACTTCAACATCAACTCAATCAATGAAGAGTCACACCTGGTACACTGCCTGAATATAAGGAGGCAGTTAAACAGTTTCACATTGGCGAGGATTGCCCAGTGTTCCCTGGATTGTGGGATTACTGCCAGGTGTATACGGGCGGCTCAATAGAGGGCGCAGTCAAGCTGAATCACAAGATGTACGATATTGCGATCAATTGGAGTGGTGGCCTGCATCACGCGCGCAAGGACGAAGCGTCTGGCTTCTGCTACATCAACGACATTGTGCTGGCGATTGTCGAACTGCTCAAATACCACGCGCGCGTATTGTACATAGACATTGACATTCATCATGGCGACGGCGTGCAGGAGGCCTTCTACCTGTCGGACCGCGTGATGACCGTCAGCTTTCACAAGTATGGCAACGACTTTTTCCCAGGCACGGGCGACTCGGACGAGATTGGCATACGCAAGGGCAAGAACTACTCTATCAACGTGCCACTGCGCGATGGCATTGATGATCGCAGCTATCAGAGCATCTTCAAGCCCGTCATCCAAGGTGTCATGGACTACTACCGACCATCTGCTGTCGTACTCCAATGTGGCGCTGACTCACTCCGCTTCGACAGACTTGGTTGTTTCAACCTAACCTTCAAGGGGCATGCTGAATGTGTAAAGTAAGTTGTGATACATGGAGCCATTCCACCTTGGCCTCACTCACTCACTCACCTTTGGCACCTCTAATTAGATTTGTAAAGAGCTTTGGACTGCCTACCATGGTGCTGGGCGGTGGTGGATACACTGTCAAGAATGTGGCGAGATGCTGGACGTATGAGACATCGGTGTTGGTGGACACAGAGATAAGTAATGAGCTGCCACCAAACGATTATATTCTGTTTTACAGTCCCGACTTCAAACTGCATCCCGATTACTCTGGCATTCCTTACCGCTACGAGAACCTCAACTCGAGACAATATCTAGAGAACCTCAAAGGCAATATCCTGGACCATCTCCGCGTGCTCCAATGGGCACCCAGTGTCCAGATCCAAGATATTCCACCAGATGTTATGAACATAGAAGAGGATGAAGATAATGTAAGTGTCACGGTCATCCATCAACTCATAGTGCTTCATTGCGACATGAAGGGGGCAGGAGTGGGGCGAGGCCCTACAACCTCGCTCGCCCCAGATCAAGATATGTCCAACAACAATCAACCCACGCCTCCATTAATAAGCACGTGATTAACAATCTGACCTCAATCTCCAATCGCAACTAACCACACGAAACAGTTTGATCCTGATAAGCCCAAACCGTTAAAGTCCTCATTCAGAAGTCTCGACGCTCAAGAGGACCGCGAGGACAGCGACAATGACATGTTGTGATCAAATCTAATCAAAAAAATACAAACACACACGCGAGCGACTTTGGATTTTTATTTCTGTTGGTCCATCCTTTGACGAGTCTGTGCGACACGCCAGATCAGGACGAGAGTGCAAATACGCGCATTTGCTATTAATGGCCAATCAGGTGATGTTGGGCGGGTCCCGATCATAATTAATTTATCGCCCAATGACAAAGAGTTGGATCTAAAAGTTTCTTTCTATTCTCTCGCAGTGGTGTTTAATTAACTACAAACAGCTCGGTTGATCACCGTCTTATGGATGGACCAAAGTGAGATCCTCGCCAACACCCCCCATATGGGTCCAGGGTGGCAGGGGCCATCAGCATCCCCGGCATGCCCCCAACAACCAGTAGTTGTACTGCACTTCTACTACTCTCTCACCCATTCATTCTCATTAGCCTTCTCATCTTCTCAAGGTTGCTCGGCACTCTCTCTCCACTCTCCCTGATTAAGTGTTGTCCAGTCTACAAGCCAGTCTAGTCCAGTCCATTTACTTTCCATCTCACCAATCTACTACCTACATACTCATTGTAAAGTGAACAAACAGTGTCATCATCTACACTCTCTATCTATCTCTACTTCCAAGATCATCAACAGCAGGCACAACATCATACAATCATTACAATCAGCTGACACGTGTATCATTACAAATACAACTACAACTACAACTACTACTATATTCTCAATTATTACAACAAACACACACACTTACACAATCCAATCACGATTGCAATCACAATCACTATCACAATCACAATCACCAATAATACAACTTAAGGCCTAAGCCCCACCCACTGGCCTCCAATAACAAACAAACACACACACACAACAATTAAACAAGGTCCTACCCCCATTCCAATCAATCAATCAATTACTCAGTAGTGAATAGTTATAAGTAGTGTCCTTTCAAGTGGCAACAGCTATTCTTTATATTCGTAATATTACATCATCAATTAAAATAATAATTTACAACATATAATTATAATTATTATTACTATTATTTCTATTATTATTATTGTTTATAAATATGAATAACATTAAATTAGTAGTTCTTGGATCTGGATGTGTTGGAAAGGTATGGTATCCACCTCACTCAATCAATCATTCAACAATAATTATAATATTAACTCCATTCAATCAATCAATCAAACAATATTATAGAGTTCACTCACAATCAGATATGTACATAATGAGTTCATTGACCGTTATGATCCAACAATTGAGGATATGTACCGAAAGGTTATAGAGGTTAATGGTAATCATTTTATGCTGGAGATTATGGATACTGCTGGTACCGAGACATTCCTGGCGATGCGTGACTTATACATCAGGAATGGCCAGGCATTCATGTTGGTCTACAGCATAACCTCGCGTAGTACATTCCAAGAGTTGGAGCAGGTCAAGGACCAGGTGCTGCGCGTCAAGGACCAATCCGTCGCCAGACTGCCCATGCTGATCGTTGGCAACAAGTCGGACTTGGAGTCTGATCGTATGGTGTCATCAGAGGAGACCGAGAAGGTCTGTGCCAAGTGGGGCATACCATTCATTGAGACCTCTGCCAAGACCAACATGAACATATCAACGGCGTTCGAGTTGTTGGTTCGTCAAATGCAACGCAAGCTAAGTGACAAGGACAAGAAGAAGAAGAGGTCAGTCGTTTGCCAGATTCTGTAGAATACCCCCTCCCATACCATCATCCCATCATCCCATTATCCGATCAGACCTGGAAGAGTCCGTCATCTCGCCAGGACGACACACATATTCTATTTATTATTCTTTTTAATACCCTCCCTCCCTCCTACTACCCTTTTTCCTTTTTCCTATTCACATTTGAATCGGTATAGATTCAATCAACCAACCAGCCAGCCAACAAGCTACCCTATAACTTAATCAATTAAATTAAAACTAATTTGTCGTTGTATTGTAAACTTGGTAGGGTAAAGCGTTTTGGTAAACATGCTCAAGGACTCAACGCCCATCACTCATGCATACACACTTAAGTGATTTATGATTGAGAATCAGGTGATATGCAACCTATCACCTGATCTGATCAGAGAGACAGCCAAATTGGATTTGCAAGTTGGATGAAAACTCATAAACAAAGTTTGGTCACGTGACACTCTGCAGATTCAAGTTGGTGTGATGGATGCAGTGAGAGTTCCCTCATCTCATCTGCCTCATCCTATTAATCAGCTCTTTTATAAAGTGCACAAGTCCCTCTGTATTAGTCATTCATCTAAACTACTTCATATATAACAACTACTTCAAATACATATATACATAATCAAATTAAAACAACCTTGAGGTGTGTACCTTACTCTCATTCATAGTAAGTATGATTGGGTTGGTGTGATTGATTGTTAACCCTTTGTTTAGGCACTTCCTTTAGACACTTTGACCATCATGAATAGAAGTCCACTATAATTAATCAGTTGTTGGTTATGATTGATGACGTTATGCAAATCCTTTTTCTCAGAGTAAAGAGCATATCCGTCCGCCGATATCAACATGATATAGTAGTAGATCCTAGTCCAAACTCTATCTTAGTCCTCGTGAAAGAATGATAGATTATCTTTGTGAAAGCTTTGAAGATCCATGTGAAAGGATACTATCTTAAGTCCTCGTGAAAGTTGATAGTATCCTAGTACCCCATAACCCCAGTATCCTCGTGAAAGTAGTAGTAATATCCAAGATAAATACCAAAGGATAGATGAACCTCCATATTAGTAGTAGTAGTAGTCTAGTCCAGTTCCAGTCCTAAGAATAGTAACCAAGATAACCCTGGCCAGGTATCATCTTTAAGGGGGTGGACAGTGTACAATGTCCATCCTCAAACCCTTTGTCCATTACTTGTCTATGGATGATTGGTTTGAGGATGTCTATTGTGAAAGTCAAGATGTATTATCAAGATTTATGTGATCAAGGTATAAGGTAGATCTAGATCTGGAGAGATATAAATGAATGAATGAAAGGAAGACTTGGGTTTGAAAGATATTGGAGCAACATCTTAATTATGATCTATAATATATTACAACATTGTCTATAGTTCCTGTTCTTGACAACGGGTTGCTCCATTAGTTGACTGGAATCACCGACGATGACGAGCCGCAGGTGATCCAGATACTTGTCGAATAGTGATTGAATCAATAGTTGTCCAAGACTGTTGCCAGACAACTCCAGATGACACAATGACTTGTTGTACTGCAGTGTCTTGTAGAGCGTCAGCGCCGAGGTCGACGTCAGACGGTTGAACGACAGATCCAAGTACTGCAGCGACTGGTTGAACGGCAGCACGCAGGCAATCTCGTGGCCGGCCTCGTCGGAGAGTTGGTTGCCGCGCAGATTCATACGCCTCAGCGTCTGATTGGTCGAGAGCATCAGGAAGAAGAGTGGCGGCGCGTGTGATTGGAGATGGCAGTGTGACAGTGAGAGGTAGGTGAGGGTGTTGTTGGCCGTCATGGCCTCAAGCAGGTGGGAGAAGCCCTCGCCCACAGGGTTACGGTCGAGGCTGAGTCGAGTGACGGATTGATTGCGCGACAGCCAGTCGGCAATGAGCTTGGTGTTCTTGGCGTCGATGTAGTTGAAGGAGAGGTCGATGTCGGTCAGCGTCTGATTACTCAGCACCGACTCGATCGTGCACATGGGCTCGACCAGGTCCTCGTAGAAGCAGTACTTGGAGAGGTTGAGCAGGCGCAGTGATCGATGGTTGGAGATAGCCTGACACAGGTTCTTCTTGGCCTGCAGCTTCAGACGCGCCCTCATCACGTTGAGCGATGTGAGCGAGGAGTTGTCAGAGAGCGCGTCAAACGTCTCGGTGAACTGGCCCAGGTTGTTGGAGCTGAGGTCCAGACACTGCAACGACGTTGTCGTACGAATGTATTTGGCCAGAAGTGCGTCGTTGAGGTCGGGCGTCGACGCCAGACATAGTTTGGTGATGGAGCTGTTGTTGCACAGGCTCTCCAGTATTCGCTCGAGCGTGTCCCTGCCTAGGGAGTTGCCACCAATGTCCAATGTATGAATGTTGCTGTATGTCTCGATGATGGAGGCGATCGCCTGGCCATCAGTAGAGCACACGCCACTGCAATGCAGACTAAGACTGGCGGGCAGCATTGCAGGCATGTAGGTCAGATTGCTTGAGGATTGTGCACTTGTGATGCTTGTGGGATGATGTGTTGATGACGTGCCAGTCGATGAACTAGATGACGCCGCGGTGCTAGTTGGTATGACGACGTCAATGTTACTGCTCTGGATGTTGAGTGTATGAATGGTGCAGTTGTTCTTGTTGAGCTTGCAGTAGAGGTCGTGCAGGTCCATCAGCGAGAGGTCGTCGAGCAGGCGCTCAGTGAGCAGCTGTTGGGGCGACGAGACACCCAACGAGATGGACATTTTGGTCACGGGCGACGACGCCGCTGCGCCAGACGCCATGGCTCCAGAGTCGAGCGCCAGTACATGTTGCTTGGTGTTGCGTCGCTGTTGTTGACGCACGACTGACACGATCGACTTGATGGAGAGGTCCTTCTCGGGCCGCGACGGCTCGTTCACCATGATCCATTGGCGCGACTGATTGGAGATGATCAGCTCCACCTGCAGGTCGTCGGCCAGGGGCGGCAGGCGATGCAGTTGGCTGACGTGCGTGTCGATCTCGGCCAGCAGCGAGATGGACACCGAGGCGAACCTGAAGCGCTGGCGATACAGGCCCGTCTGCGTCAGACGGTAGATCAGCTCGAACTCCTTCTTTGTCGATATCTCCACATGGCCGTACTGCAGGTGCGGCACGATGCGGTCCGCCCATGTCCGGGAGACCAGCGACAGACGGGTTATAAATTCGCGGAAATTGTGTCGCCGGCTAATTCCCGGCTCCTCCGTGCTCGAGTGCACTACAGGATAGAAGCATTGTCTAACAATTAGATTGGCAATTGTACGCCATATCTCTATTGGTAGTTGAACATTATTATTACTATTACTATTATTACTATTATTATGATTGATACTGTTACGTTGCTTTGATGATTGATGATGATGTTGATGATGATGTTGATGTTGTTGTTGATGTTGTTGTAGATGTATGAATGGTGACATTGAACGACATGCATAACTATTGTTCAGTGCAAGTGTTGGGATGGTGAAGTTGTCGGTGAGGGATGAGAGGAGGAGATGACTGTTGTTGATGTGTGTACCATCGACCATTTGAGGGATAATACATCCTTTGTCTCTGTAATAATACTTTGATGATGATGATGTCGAAGAGGAGGACGAGGAGGATGACGCCGACAATGAATACGACGATGAGGAGGACAATGATGACGTTGAATTTGTCGAGCTCCTCTTGGGTCTCTCCACAAGCTCCATCATTATGTGTTTATGTGTGTGTGTGATTGAGCGAGTGAGGGAAGAGGAGAGAGTGATTGATTGATTGATTGATTAATGACGTTGACCTTGACCTTGCATGTCCACTGTCCTGTTTATGTCCTGCCCTGACCTGTCCTGTTTCAATTCCGCGATGTTATTATTGATTGTCTTTGCTCGCAATTGCAAGATGTTGTTTGTGTGTATGTGTGCGCGGGAGAATGTTATTTGTGTGAGTGTGTGAGTGTTGATTAATGATGAACACATCAATCACTCACTCACTCAATCATTCATTCATTCATTCATTCAATCATTCATCCAACCACCACTCAATCAATCACAAGTTTGTCAAACACACACACTAAAACGCTAAACCTTGGAATTTGATTGGTCAGGACTTATTGAAAGTTTGACCACCAAAACTACTTTGGAGCCAAAAGCTCAAACCCCCCAACCATCAAACGAATCATTTTGGAAGGGAGGGAGTGGAGAAGAAATCTTGACTGCAGATTTGAATAAACTTGACTACTGTTCCTATCTATCTATCTATCTATGTGCAAAGTTAGGGCAAGTTGAGGGCATTCATTCAAATAATTAGATAATTAGGATTCATAGATACTTGTTCAGAGACAGAGAGAGATAGAAAGATGTTTGATGTCATCATGTTTTTGATTGATTAATGGATTGAGGTGTGATTGATTGATCGATGGTTGATTGGTTGCTTGTTCAATGGCGACCTACAATTTGTAACCATCAACATCCACTTGTTAGATCCCTAAGGATCAATCAATTCACTCAATTCATTACAGCCATAATGTAATGTGATGTCCTATACATGTAATGAATTGGTACACCTACCTTTGAATAAAATCAAGTATCACTAGTCACTATCATTATTGTGTTGACACTAACCAATCATGGACAAATAGACATGGTTCGTTACCATAACACTGCACACAACTCATTCGCTATACTTGTCAATCATATAATAATATGTAAATGTGTGTATGTGTGTGTTTAAACGAATGATCATGTGTGTGTGAGTTAAAGATGATGATGGCAGTGGTGTGCCACTCACTTATCATTGCAATAATGCCTTTCAATGGAGTGGTCCTTTGGCACTTCAATAATCATATACTATATTATATATAATCAATCAAATAACTTGAAAACTAGATACCTGGATACCTGGATAGATATAACTCGGAAACAATCAAACAATCAACCAAACAATCAACGATGTCTTTACACTTTACACATATATTGATTATTTGTATGATGTTGATCACTTTGGCGCATTCAAATACTTTGGGTCCAAAGTGTAATACATGCGTGGATCACGGAAAGGAATGTGGCAATGATAATCAGGTGTGCACAGCTGGTACCTATTGTGTAAATGTCAATCCATCCAATCAAAACGAAGTAAAGATGCGTTGTCTAAACGTCACAGAGATCGATGGCAATATCCAATGTACAAACGACACTCAATGTCCTTCATCAATGACATGTATCCTCGACGCCACCATCGAGAATATAATATTATATTGTAGACAATCAAATTATAGAGGGTAAGTAGTCATCATCCACCTCCAAAATCATCAATCCATATCAATCATTTTGTATGTAATAGTGATCATTTCCTAATTAGTCGATCATTGTCATACCGAATATTTCCAGATTAGGCGATCATTGTCAATACCCATATCAATGCTCCGGATTGTTGATGTGCTTTGATGGTATTTGCTCCAACAAACAATATCCAAGATGTAATTCGGTTGCCGAATGTCATAGCAATCAGACCTGTTTGAATTCATACTGTGTCCAGAGGTCTGATGAAGGTGCTGGCTGTCTCGTCGACACAGACTGCCAAGCCAACTTCAACTGCATCCCAACTGTCACTGGCAACACCAGTACATGTCAGTCAATGTTCTCGCGAGTTGAAGGCCAGCCATGCCACAAAGATTTCGATTGTGACCTCTCACTCGGTCTACAGGTATGTGTTCCATCCCGCGAAGTAGCATGAATCCTCGCATTCTTACTTATCATAATCAATCCTCATTCATGATGTCAGTGTAATGGAGGTTTCTGCCAGAAGCCGGTAACTGGTATAGAGTGTGGCGCGGACAATATGTCTTCATGTAATGTTAGCTCTAGTTGTATATGTGATGCGACATCGGGAGTGGGATCATGCCACAGCAAACATTTGTACAGCAAGGATTGCAAGGATCAGTATCTCAAGTACGTCGAGTGTTCAAAGAGTAGTGGATGTCCATCTGTGGATGTGGTGGTGGCAGGATCATGTCTATTCGACAAGTGTATGACTTGTGATTACCAAAAGGCCTGTTACAACAGTGATGTCACATGTGGAGCTGGCGGAGCCTGTCTCAGCGGCTCCTCTACACTCTCTCATCCACTCTCACTCATCATCATTTTCCTGCTCCTCACAAGTTCCACGCTCATCACCTTTTGATGACCCACTTTCGGAAGCCGACAACAAGTAAAGTAATAATTAGTCACTTTACTTTGATTAATAATCTATTTAGTTGATTGATTGATTGATTGAATGAATGAATGAATGGTTGTATGATTGTATTATTGATTGGGTTCTCTGATCATGATGGTCACTTCCGCCTAGTGTATAGGGTCCTATGCCATGCCTCAAGTGCTACTACACTTCCTTGTTCCGAAAGCATACCTCCTACCTAGGTTGTCTCTGAGAACCTAGGTGATCAAAATCGGATGTTGGTTTCCTAACTGTTCAAATAATAATGACGACCCCATGCAGGCCTGAAGAAACGATAATGACCTCAGCGATTATACCCCCACTCGAGTACCAAAAGGGTACCTATTGGGCTGCAAGTGACTGAGGCCTAAGGGAGTGTTCCATTTGCAAAAGTTTGCATTCATGAGCAGGACCACACAAAACCAAACAACTATCCATCCTACCAATCCAACCAACCAACCAACACTTTAACTGTCTCTCTCTTTGTCTGTCTTTTAATTATTATCTCTCTTTCACACACATTATTATTCATTCATTCAACAAACAAACGACATTGTTGTCATCGTCATCGTTGCTAAACACGGTTGACATTCGCACACTCACACACCCACACTCTCACACACACATAACTCAAGACTTGACCTAGGTCAGCCCCCTTCCTTGTCTTGGTCCTTCCTGTCTTTGGTCTTGTGTAACTTTAAGACAAACACACACACATAACCAACACAACTCACCTCACTCACCTCAACAAACAACCAACATAATAACAACAACAACATTACTCATCATCATCAATATAAATATAGTGTAGTATTATTATATATTAAATGTCCCAATTATCATTCGGTGCCAAGCCTCCACCTCCTGTTAGACACTTAGGAACGAGCAACAGTAGTAATAACATTGCACCAACAGGTACCAACAACAACAACAACAATAATAATAGTGGACCACAAGGACAAGCAGCTCCAGGCAACTTGGCGACTTCATCATCATTCAATCAAGCATTGAACAACTTTAATAATAGTATACAAGGTATTGCCAGTCCATCGCAGCAGCCACCAGCTCATCAACCGTTGGTCAAGCCACCTTTCAAACCATCCCCATCACCAGGCCAGCCACAATCATCATTTAGCAAGCCACCTCCATCGTCTTCATCCTCCACCACTGGCACATCACATCATCATCCACAGCATCATCATACAGGAGGCGCAACAACTCATATACCACCACAACACTCGGCCGCTGTACCCATACCAATAGCCAAGCCACTACCCAATCCAACACCCGTACTAAAGTTGAGCAACAGCACGGGATCAATCACACATCTGCCACCATCAGCAGGCGGCCCGCCAAAGCCAACGACACCACTCCCACCCAAGCCATCCCCGTCGTCATTCCAACCATCATCGCCACCCATCAGCGGAGTCAGCAACAACAGCAGCAGCGTCAACAACACAAGCAGCAACAATATGAATATGAGCAACACAAGTAATGGTAGCAGCAACAGCAGCAGCAACAACAGTACACCAATAATGACTGGAAGCAGCAGTGCGGCCAAAGCACACTTTGAGAGCATTGCTCTACAACACAGCAACAGCACTGTTGGCCGAGACGATGAGATGTCGCCCGATTTGGACCGCGACTCACACGGCTCGGACGAGAAGCGCTCAATCTTCAAGAAGTTCCCTCATCAATGGGCCATCGGCAAGCTGGAGAAGGAGTTCAGCGCCAAGGACCCCGTGAAGAAAGAGGAGAAGGAGCGTGAGAAGAAGGAGGAGAAGGAGCGCAAGGAGCGAGAGAAGGTCGAGAAGAAGGAGCGCAAGGAGCGCGAAAAGAAGGAGAAGGAGCAGAAGGACAAAGAGAAGGACAAGGAGAAGGAGCTGAAGGATCGCATCCTGCCAAAGTCCACACCCTCCATCTCGTCCAAGCTCAAGACGTCGCCGATCCGCAGCGACGACCAGCCCTCGTCCTCACCCACTCTCAGCGGCACGGGCGTCTCGGGCGGCAGCCACATCGGATCGTTCAACTCTTCGTTCCACGCGTCAGCCATCAGCGGCGCCGACTCATCGCTGTCGTCTGGCTCGGCCCAGAGCATTGGCGACGGATCGTTGCGCGGTGCCACACAGCTGGACACCAGCCGCGGTCTGATGACCTGGGGCTCGGGATCCAACTGCAAGCTAGGCTACAGGAGCGAGAAGGACAGCCAGTACGTGCCTGAGCGTTTGCCCAACTTCAACATCCCCGACATTGTCTCCATCTCCTGTGGCAGCTACTACTCTGCCCTCTTGACCGAGAATGGCGACGTCTACATGTGGGGTCGTGGCGCAGTCAAGAATCCACCAATCGCCACGCTTGGAAATGGATCATTCGAGGGTAAGTTGTGTGTCGCCGCTCAATCAATCAACTCACTTACTCATACTACCAATCAATCTAAACAGATCAACTTGTACCACAAAAGGTTGAGGGACTCTCTGAAGTCGTTGTAATATCAATTGGATTCTATCACTCTGCAGCACTGCGCTCCAATGGAGAGCTGTTGACATGGGGATGTGGTGAGGATGGACAGCTCGGACATGGCGACAACCTCAACCAAACAACACCCAGAGTCATCCAATCAATGACCTCACACTGGGTCACCCAAGTGTCATGTGGAGAGAAGCATACCATCTGTCTAACAAGTGAGTAGCTACAGAAGGCGGCAGGTGAAGAGTACGCGAACACACACTAACAAGACAATCGTACGCTATAACAGAGAATGGAAAGGTATTCACATGGGGATCAAGCGAGTATGGACAGCTGGGACTGGGAGACACACATAGGAACTGTCAGCCAATGTTGGTGACGACTTTGGACAAGTATCACATCATTCAGATCGCTTGTGGATCCAGCCACAATGCAGTGTTGACGAACCATCGCGAGGTTTTGGTGTTTGGTAACGGTGCCTCACTGGGTACCGCCAACATCATATCGATTCCAACGGCAGTGCCCCTGCTAAAGAATATGAACATCGAGCGTCTTAGCTGCGGCCATTACTCGACCGCCGCGTTGACAGAGTGCGGTGATGTCTACACATGGGGCTCAGGCCAGGAGCTTGGCCACGGCCACAACGGCAGTGAGTCACATCCAAAGCTTGTCGAGGCGTTGCGATCCCAATCAATCAGACAGATCAGCTGTGGTGGCCGCCACATGGCCTTTTTGACCGACAGCGGCCGCGTCTACACCTCGGGCAAAGACTCGTTCGGACAGCTGGGCCACTCGGCTGGCGATCAGAACCGACCAAAGAGGATTGAGTCGCTGTTGGGCAAGTTCATCTCGATCAGCTGTGGTGAGAACCACAACGCCGCGCTCTACGACACTACTCGCTCATTCCGCGACAAGTTCTGCTGGAAGCTGCTCGAGTGCCAGCGTACGTACGTCCGCTCGCTCAGCATCGTTCGCTCAATCTACACCAACCCTCTGATCATTCGTGATCGCGAGCAGCTGCCAGAGTACCTCCGCCACCTGCCCTACATCTTCCTCTCAGAGGAGGAGATCAAGACCATCTTTGGACCATTCGACCGCGTCTACTCCACCAACTCCAGTCTGCTGCATCAGATGAACAATCGTCTAAACACATGGTCGAGCAACAAGAGAAAGATTGGCGACATCATGCTGAACTTCTTCAAACAGTCCGAAGCCGTGTTCAATCAGTACATGGACCATATGCCAGCCGCCATTCACATGCTCGACAACATGCTCAAGAAGGCCGGCTCGCCAGTATGCAACTACCTGAAGGAGTGCGAGCGTCTGGCGCAAGACCGCCGCAAGCAGGAGACCGACGAGGACAACAAGGACTTTAGTCTGCGCGCCCTGCTGCTCGAGCCATTGAACGTGATTTCGCGCTACCAAAAGAACATCTCGGGCATGGTCAAGTCGACCAAGCCAAGCCACATCGACTACCAGGGTCTGGCCGATCTGGAGAAGATCGTCGACGAGCGCCAGTCCAAGGTGAACAACCTGTTCAACATGCTCAACTCGCCCACGATGCTGGCCAACTACATTGCCAGCCAGGCCAACATCGCCACGAGTGACAGCGCCGAGTCGCCCTCGTCGTTCCTGCGCGAGTACGATATCAAGATCGAGTCGCTGCAGAACTTCAAGAAGACCTGTCTCAAGCTGATCAAGTCCAGCAAGAAGTACTTTGAGGTCGAGCAAGAGGCGTTCCGCGAGCAGGGCGTCTTCTGCGAGAACCTGATGCTGGCCAAGTCCAGTCTGGACAGTCTGGTCGAGCCCAATCTGGCCGGATCCCTGGACCACTATTCACAATCCATCAAGAAGATCGGCTACCTGCGTACTGAGCTGTCGACACGCACTAACTCTGCGTTCTCATCGCCGCTGTCCACAGTGGCCGACGAGCTGGACCAGTTCATCCCACTGATCATAGAGATGCGCAAGCGTGTGTTTGACTCGCACACCGAGTACGAGAACGCCGTGAGCAAGCTGTACTCGCTGGCCAAGAACGCGCAGCCCAACGACAAGAAGATTGTGGAGGTTGAGCGCGATGTCAGCAACCACAAGAAGGCACTCGACAAGACTGTGTTTGAGTTTGACGCCATCTTCAAGGAGGGCATTCATATCGAGCAGCGCTCTCTGAAGCTGTTCTACGCCTGCATGAAGGCGCAGCAAGAGTACTTTGAGCGTGGTCTACAGCGCTTCCAGTCGATGAAGCCATCGTTCGACGCATTGGACAGCCACTTCCGTAAGCAGAGTCGTACAGCCTGGTCCAAAGCCATCTACGATACCCTGGTGCAGACTTTCTCCGAGGGCAAGGGCAACACCGTGTCCGCTGCCAAGATGGAGCTGTCGACACCATCAGTGGTCGAGGTATCGCACTCACCACAAGGCTCGTTCCTCGAGGACGGCGCGCACAGCTCCACTCCCACCAAGGGCACGATCGACCCACATGCCATCATGGCCGAGCTCGAGTCGACAGACTGGAGCTTCGTGCTGGATCCACCCACAGCCAACGAGTTCACCGAGACCTTTGTTGAGGACCAGTACAACCAGCTGGTCAGCATCCTGGCGTCGCCCTCGCTGCAGGTCGTACAGTGCGTCGTGTCGCCATGCACCCAAGAGGAGCAGGTGCGCACCATCGAGTCCATCTCCAAGATCTTTGACAGTTTCAACAAGATTCGTCCAATCATTCACACAGGCATTGAAGCCGAGGTCAACTCGACTGCCAACTCCTCCACGCTGTTCCGTTCCAACTCTACGGCCACCAAGCTGATGACTGCATTCACCAAGATGAAGGGTATGCCCTACCTGGTCAAGGTGATCACGCCACTGGTGCGCGAGGTCGTCGACAACCCCAACGGCTACGAGGTCGACCCGTCCAAGATCAACGAAGGTACCGAGGAGCTGATGACCAACATGATGAACCTGATACAAATGTCCGAGAAGTTCACCGACGCGATCATCGACTCGCTGCACCTGCTGCCGATCTCACTGCGCGAGATATCCAAGTACCTGCAACGCGAAGTCGTTCGCCGCTTCCCCGACAACAAGCACTCGAGCGTTGGCGGTTTCATCTTCCTGAGATTCCTGTGTCCAGCCATCATTGCTCCGTTCACCGCTGGTCTGGTCGATGAGACCCTCGGACCAGAGGCCACACGTGCCCTCGTTCTCATTGGCAAGGTGCTCCAGAACTTGGCCAATGGCATTGAGTTTGGCCAGAAGGAGTCGTTCATGATCCCCGTCAACAGATTCATTATTGGCAACCTCGGTCGCATCAATGAGTACTTTGATCGTCTCACAGATGTGCCCGACTACAAGGGCGACTACGTGCCCATCTCCTCAATGGACGAAGTGCAGAAGGACATCAGAAACATACATCTACTCATCGTCAAGAACCTCTCCAAGGTCACCAAGCAGTTGGCACTTTACAAACAAAAGGACATCATTGGTCAACTATCAAAGACACTAGTCTATCTTGGAGATCCACTTGTGTTGTACAAGTAAAGGAGACAGCGACAGCTTTGCTTCACAGCGACAACGCCCACGCCCACGCACTCAACCCTCGCCGGGGAGTCCATCCATCATCAATCCTACCAACCAACCAAACATGATTGTATTATTAACGTTCTTTAAACATCCATCCTCCATCATATACCCAATAAATATGACTTCCATACCATTCCATTTGGTCTGTTACCAATCGAGTTGGCTACCTCGCCAGTGCGTGGCAACACAGCACATTCATTGTTTAGTCGTATCTTGTGATTGATTGTAATAGTGTTCGATTATTGCGTTGGCCACTGCATAGTCAGTGTCGTGTGAGATTGATAGATGGATGGTGGAAACGTCTAGCTCATTGGCCAGCTCTCGTGTGTTGCCAACCAGGTCGACATAGGGAGTGCCGCGCTCATTGGTCATGATGCGTATGTTTTGAAAGTTGAGTCGGGCGCGATCACGACCGCCAAACGCTTTGTACACGGACTCCTTGGCAGCCCATCTTCCGGCCAGGTACTGCAGAGCCGACTGATCACTGACCGTTCGCTTCAGATCGTTGAAGCGATTGATCTCATCAGTATGAAACGCTCTCTTTAAGAATCTCTCATTCTCTGAGTTGTTTGTGAAGCGAGCAATCTTTACAATGTCTGTACCAATGCCAAGTATCCTTATTGACCTATTAATTAATGCTGTCATTCATTCATACATTCATATTATCAATTATCTATTATCTCTATCTATCTTTGAGTTCGTGTGAATGATTGAACATGGGGTCTGAGCGAAGTTTGAAGTAGAAGTCCCAACTTCCACGAATCATTCATTCAATCAAATACTTACTTACTTACACATACATACATACATACATATAAAGTAGTATGTGATGAGTTCATCCACTTCTAAAGCAGACACATCGGCCTCGTCGGCATCGAGAATGGTCGACAATGAAGATGACGATACTAGTATGTTGGTCGTCATATTGGACATGAATGTCTATTCGTGGGGACAACGCGCACAGACTGTACATAGTAAGCAACAGGCAGGCATGCCACTGATATCACTGCCGACATTCTTGGAGCACTTCTTGGTCTTTGTCAACGCCTACCTCATGCTCAATCAAGAGAACCAACTTGCCGTCATCTCATCGATCATTGGCGAGAGCTACTTTGTATATCCTCCACCTCCCGATCAACGTGCATCCGTTGCCAATCAAGTGATCGCCGAACAGATCCAATCCAGATTGAAGGACATCCAAGATACTTATGTTGACAGTGAGTCTCGCAAGGTCATCCTTCATGATGTCGTCTCCCAGACACAACCTAACCATCCATCGATCATTCAATCAATCAATCAATCACAGAGATTGGCGAATTACAAGGTGATGAGACTTCGGCTTCATTCTCTGCCGCCATGTCTCTTGGATTATGTCGTAAGTGTCGCTCGGTCACTCTCACTCACTCAGCGGGTGTCCCCTCAGGCAATACCAACCAAGCTAACAACTGCCGCCCACGCGTACAGATATCAATAGGATGAAGAAAGACCTTCCCAACCTCAAGCCAAGGATATTGGTGTTTAACATATCTCCAGACGTATCGAGTCAATATATACCTGTGATGAACTGTATCTTCTCGGCACAGAAACAGTCGATACCAGTAGACAGTTGTATCCTCTCCTCAGACTCCACATTTCTCCAACAGGCATCACATCTCACTAGTGGCATCTACCTGAAGCCCCAACGACAAGAGAACCTATGTCAATACCTTGTTGTAAGTGTCTTCATACTTTGCTGCTGCGACCAACTGATACTAATATTCATCTTCGTGTTTGACAGTCAACATTCCTGATTGATTCAGACTCTAGGAGACACTTGAGTGTTCCAACACTTACTACTGTAGACTTTAAGGCATCATGCTTCTGTCACAAGAGGATCGTGGACATTGGATTCGTTTGTTCAGTTTGTTTATCGAGTAGGTAGTAGAGTGGACTGACTGGATATATGAGTGGACATTGATTAACCCATCCATCCAACCATCCATCCATTCAATCAATTAATAGTATTCTGTAAACCATCTTCTTCATGCTCTACATGCGGGTAAGTAACTCTAATAACACATTGATACAACAACGTCCATACTAACATAAGCCTCCGCCAACAATCAATCATCCAGTACCAAGTTTGCTCTCAAGATTGATCTTTCCAAGATAGACATTGCCAACTCACTCTCCACCAACGACAACAATAACAACAACAACAACAACAACAATAATAGTAATAATGGAAGTGGAAGTAATGGAGCTGGATGACATGGCAACATCTCGATCAATAAAGTTTGAAGGACAAGTTATAGTTACAATACATGGAAGATTTATAAACAGATATTGAAGCCAGTTAAGTTAGAACCATGACTTGTTGGCATTCTTGAGATCAGCAGACATTTTAGCGAATGATACAGAGGCCGCTTGCATCTCTGCAGCCTTGACGTCGAGCTGGTTGATTTTTTCTCCTCGCTCATCCATCTGTCTGCGTGTCTCGGCCATTGTGTTGGCAATATCCTCCACGAAGACCTTTTGTTTGCTGGCACTGCTGTGGCTTGAGCCAGATCCACTGTTCACTGTGACACCCTCGGCAAAGGCATCCTCCAACTTGGATGGCGCAGGCTTGGATGGTCCAAACAAGAACTTCACGAGCGACGACTGTACTTTGGGCTCTGGTGGTGTCAGGATAGTCTGCTGGAAGAACATGTAATGATGACGCTGAGTGTGTGGCTGCAGGAGTAGAGTGTAGTTTCCAGCATTGTCTGCGTGTTGTACAAACACATTGCCAGCCATCGTCAAGCACACGAGCTTTGCAGGCTTGAGAGCCTCACTGATTGGACATGTCATTTGCTTATCGATTGTGTTGGCCATGTCAAAGAGATGGTAATGATTGCTTTGGTCCACTGCGGCGAGGTAGTGCTGGTCCGATCCAATATCCCTAAACATAGATGTCTTTACAACTGGTGTCTTGAACTCCTCCTTGTTGATCTTTGGATGTGAGTAGTCAATGTTGCCGTTGTTGTTGTTGTCCTGTTGTGGCGATGCTGTTGGTGTGTACTGTGACAGGTTCTTGAGTGGTACGTTGTAGAGTGTTAACTCCTTGCTGCTCGCAACCAATATGTTGATGTCGTCTGTGAGATTGGCATTGGGGCTTGATGGTATTGGCGCGGCAACTAGTTGGTCGACGGTTACAGCTGGTGGCGTTGGGACAGGGGGCTCATGCATCAGTGGCAAGTCGACAAAGATATATTGAGGCTGTCGTCCACGCTTGTCAATATAGTAGATGTCCTGAATACCTGATGATGATGCCTTGAAGCTTGACACGACCTTGAGTGAATGTACGTCCACCACAGCGACTTGTCCGCTCTCAGTTCCAACATGGAAGATTGAAATGTCTTCGTTGGATCTGATAGGGCAATAGCAGAGTGCCAATGCAGTGATTGGGGACGCTTTGCCATCTTGATCTAGAACAGCCGACTCATTGCACGCCTGTACATCGATGTTTGCAGTGTATACAACTCGGCTGGTGTTGACTGAGCTTGAGTTGTCCACAAGTGTGACGACAAAGTGGTAGAGCGAGCCTGTGGCGCTAGCCATTACAACACGTGTGCAGTACTGTGATCGGAATGGGTTCAAGGCAATGGCCGTGATGGCCGATGGGAACTTCCATTCAGACACTAGCTGGCAGCCTGGGCCCAGAGGGTCAGGCAGAGGTGGCAGTGCTGGTGCTACAGCTGTCTGTGGTGATGATGGTGGAGAGATTGGTGGTGATCGTGTGGCAGGTGCTGGTGCTGTAGTTGAGGTCACTGTTGGTGAGTTTGCTGCAGAGGTAGAGCCAACAACCTCATTCTCAGTCTCAGGGGGAACGACTGATTTTTGTGGTGATGCTTGAGTTGTGGTGGTATCTTGGACAGGAGCAGTGGCAGGAGCAGGGACAGAAGCAGGCGTTACTGTGGGTGCCTCTGTGATGACTGGTGCGGGATAGGATGTCTTTTGAATGCGCCTCGAGTCGCCACAAATGCTGTAGACCAACACTGTGCCATCGGCCAGTGTGAGTAAAAGTAGTCTGTTGGCCGGCGAGAAGCACATAGTGATAGGAGCAGAGGGCAGTGGCTCTACCATTGTGATGAGTTGATAGGAGCGCGAGTCGGTGAAGTCCCAGAAGCGTAGTGAGTTGTCGCGATGTGTTGTGATCATCAGTTGGAACAGACGGCTGTGTTTGACATTGCCACCAACAATTGGTGATAGACGACGCGATGTGTTGTTGGCGTAGAATGCATCCAACAGATCGTCTTTGAGCTTGATGTCACACTCATAGCACTGTGCCAACAGTGGCTCGTGCTGTGCTTGTGACATTATCTTCATGTTGATCTCGTCGAGTGGCGTGGGGATCATGACTGTGTCGAAGCGGAAGTAGACCACTTCGTTGCGATGTGTGAGTGCCAGCAGGCCTGTCAGCTCCTTGACGCTGGCGAACGGGGTGTCGAGGACGGGCACGAATGACACGACTCCATTGACCAACTGTGACACACCCATCTGTTGTATCTCGCGCTGGCTGTCGCCCTTGACCAACACCAGTGAGTTGGGCGCCTGGAAGTGGCCCTTGAACAGAATAATCTTCTTGTCTTTGGTGTAGACCAGTTCGAGTTGGTCGATTGACACGCGCTCTGGCTGGCCGCCTGTTGTGGCTGGCGCAGTGCCAGTTGCACCGCCAACAGCTGGCTTGTAGAGGAGCGAGGGTACCTGCTTGGCATAGTCCACCATGAATATCTGGCCATCAAAGAAGCCACATATGAACTTGCTGCCAGTGCGACTCCAGACTACCTTTGTAACGAATGATTTGAATGTTCCAAACTTCTTCTCGACCTTGCGACACTCTACATTCCAAGACACAATCCATCCATTCGAGTATCCAATCAACAACAAATTTGGATCCACTGGGCATATATCTATTGCACTTGGATACACCGGTTGAGTCGATGTGCCATCACCTTGAGGAGGTGCAAGACCTACAAGGCTACATGATTGATTGATTGATTGAATGAATGAGTGAATGTTCATCATTGATATCACTCTTAACCAACTCACTCTAATGTTATCTTGTAGGAGGATAGGAAGTGTGACATGATGTTGTAGACTTGGATGTGTCCAGTCTCATCGCCAATGTACATAAAGTTGCAGCCAAATGTTAGACCAAGTGATGTTATCCTATTCATAAAGTTAAGTACATTCACAACCTTTCTCTCACTATAATTCCACTTCTCAATTGAGTTGGCTGTAACTACAACGAGGAATGGCTATACATATTGATGGGTTTGGTCAATCATCCACTCAACATTCAATCTAACCGTGTAGTCTCTTACAGTATTGATTATAAAGATGACCTTTAGTACAGGGGCATTGGCCTCACACTTGAAGCTACATTCCATTGCATTGAGACCGAATCTATTGTATGTGATGTTGGTAAGTAAGTACCATTGAATGAATGAATGATTGAATGAATGCATGATACATACATCTTTACAGTTCCATCATTGAATCCTACTGAACATAAACGTTGTACACAATCAAAGTGTATTGAAGTTGCTTGATCGTGTAGACCTGCATGGTGAGGCTTTGTATCATACTTTGACTGAGATGGCTTTCCACTCGATGGCATCATTGTCGATGCCGGAGTAGGTGCACCCGAGTCATTCTTGCCCTGTACAAGTTTCTTTATAGATGTAAACAATGACATCTTATTCTAAATATATCTATCTATTATATATATGTGTGTATATCTATTTATATCTATTATAACAACAATGTAGTAGTATCTCAATGAATGAATGAATGCACACACTCATTGATCTTGACTTTGAGATTGGAATTGAAGAGATGTGGGTGGGGTCGCGCAACACAAGAATCCCACTCACCCCTTTGAGGGTCGAGGGCAAGGGTAAGGGTTAGGGTAGGGTAATGAATGGATCGATCAGTTTAGTGATTATTAGTTATACAAATATGTTCTCCTGGAATGATAGTCCTTCCAGAGTCTCATCTCTACATAGTCTCTCAAGTTTCTCGCATGCCTAAAGGATAGGATTGGATTGGGAATGATTGTTAGACCTCGAGATCCTTGGCTCCCCTCGCCTTTGATGGTACATATACACAACATACCAATAGCTTCTCGTTTGCTAGACTTAGTGATATCTGTTGCAACTTTGATAGATGGAAGGCTGTGATGGCGCCTCCAGACTCTTTGATTATCTCCAGGATCTCCTTGGCAACTTGTTCATCATTCTCATTCTTTGATTGAACGACCATCACTCCACTGTCGAATCGCCTTAGTCTTACTTCCAAGTCCAACTGTTCAAACAACAAGCATGCTCTATACAAGTCATCAGGTGATATCAGTTCTGTAATGATTGATGGGGAAGTATGAGTGAGTGAGTGAGGTGATTGATTGAATGAATGAATGATCGGCATCATTCAACACATACCTATTCCTCTTGCTCTGTTAAATATACAATATAGATCAGCTAGTGGGATCATTCCACTGTTGACATTGCCAATCCTGCTGCCACCTTGTTTGGTGAGTATATGGTTGTCGACAAGCCATTGAGATAGTTGCTTGGACAACTCTGTGTGATAGTGTGACTTGGCCGTCTTCTTGGTGACGGGCGCTGCGATACCCATCTGCACGAGGAATGAGCGGAACTCCTCCTCCTCGCCACTGGCGCCGCTGCCCTGCGCCTGCTTGTCAAGTGATGTCTTTAACTTCTCGCTCAGCACCACCATGTCCTTTGCCTTCTCCATCAGTGCCTTCAAATCGCTAAACGCCTCGACCAAAGCCTTGTCAGTCTCTTCCTGTTTCTTCTCCATTTGTTTGATCAGTCCAGTAATGCCTGCATTCGATGTATTAAAGTTGGGACTGGTGGCTGATGGCTTTGCACCTGCTTGTTGTTGCTGTTGCTGCTGCTGTTGTTGTTGCTGTTGCAATGCTTGTTGTTGACGCATATACTCTTGGCGATCGAATAAGAGTTGTTTGTAGAGCCGACCAAACTCATCACGCTTGGATGATGATGAGAATGATAACTTTAGATGCTTGCCATTGCGACATAGTATAGATATCTTTGGTGAGGCACCCATTGCAAGGAATCCAGCTGCAACATTGTCCACAGACACAATCGAATCATGCATCAAACAAAGTGCATTAGCGCTTCCACCAGCAGTCTGTGTCCACAACACTCTAACAGAAGTAACCATGCACATTCCCTTATGATACTGTGTCTGTAAATCTCTGATCATCAATTGATGAGTAAGTATGTGATGTTGTTTGATTGATTGAATGATTGATTGATCGTCTTACCCATCATATATTGAGACGCTGTCTACTGAGAGGATGATGTTCTCATTCTGATATAGTATTGGTTGGCCATTGGCAGTTGGTACACTATGTATAGCCTCCATATATATATGTGTACGTTATTATCTGTATGTCAATGAATGCGTTGATCAAAGTATGAATGAAAGTTTGAAGAACTTCAAGGTATGTTGTGACCCCCTCCCTTCAAGATTTAAGATATTACCTTGTTCGAGCTTTGGCTCATTCATTCATCCATTCAGTCTATCAATCAAATAATCAAGGATGGATAAGACATTGTTTATACAGTTGATAAAGGATAGACCATTGTCAAGGATATTGTTTGGTTATGTAAGATCAATCAATATATTGATGACAAGTGATAGTGTTTGTGGAAGGAACATCATCAATCTACGTCAATGTATAAGATATCGTGATCATAAACTATTCATTCAATACTTTAACCTAATGTTCATTGATAACAACACTCATGGTAATCAGTTACTACTTAAATCAATCTCAAACATTAACAATAACATCAATGACATGTATGTATGATGAATATAACATGATTGAAGATTGAATGAATGAATGACTAACTTGAAGTCAGTCTAGTTTGACTAAAACATTACGTGATCTGGTATCAATGTCATTGGAGTATGATCAGATTGTAGTTTTGAGATATATTATTACAACGATGATGTCAATGTCACATCCAAAAGTTAAACAATCAATTATGTCACAACTATATCCATCAAATGGTGAAGTCCATCTCTCAGATGATATGAAGTTAATGTTACTCAGTACACTCAAGGACAACCAGGACAACATCAACTTGAACAGTTACATGATCAATCAAATGGGTCAACAACAACAACAACAACATGAGAAGACACCGTCAACTTCCAAGATTGCACTGATGAGATCATTAATTGAACGAAATGATGTTGAAGGCATTAGAGCACTACTGCCAGAGAGGCCGATATGGGGCGTCAGCCTCATGCAATTCGTGCTCAAGGCATCTGTTGCCGCGCAGGAGTTGATCATAAACAGTCTGACACCCAAGCATTTGGAGTTCTTAGATGCGCCCAACTGGAGCCAAGTATACATCAGCCTGGAGGACTTGTACGAAAGGCGATTGATCACATCAGGAGTCCTCCAAAAGCTTCAGGTGAGTGGACACCTTGGTGCTCTGACGACGGCCTACAGGTACGCCCTTTACAAGCTGGCGGTATTATGTTCAAACGATGAAGTAGACCTCACCGATCATTTTACCATCGGTGATCGCATCCAGTACAATATCTACGCTCAAGGAGTAACAGCTCTGAATCAAGGACTGGGCAACATTGGCGCGACATCGTTTACATTGACCATCACTCAATCAACCATGATTGCACTTGTAAAAGAGTATGGACATCATGTTGACATGTGGACACTCACACCAGTGATGGCATCAGCAATATGGAACAAGCTGGACGCCAAATCCCAAATGGATCAATCATTCATCATCGAGATATTCACTTCATTGTCGGATATATGTTGTAATGTACATCTTTATCATTTGGCCATTGGTCAATATCATTCACTAAGTGGTGGTAGTTGCGACAGTCTGCCATTCATTCGTCCACCAACATTGTCACAGATTGACAAATGGATAAATAGGTCTAAAGTGATACAAGGTGATAAATGGAATCCATTATATTTTAATAGTGTTCTGGAGATTGTAAAGTTGTTCAACATGGATTTGATGATGAACAACCTGGAGCATCACCATTATAGACAATATTTAATACCATATTCATTCAATGAATATAAAGATATAATGGAACTATTATTATTGCATGGTTGCTATATGGAATATTTGATTGCCAATAAATAAAGTCACTAACTCAATTAATCAAGAACTCGAAGGTTGGCAGGTAGAGGTTGGCCTGGGAACCATTGATTCATGAGTTTGATGGCGAGGTCGAGTCCAATCTCAATGGTGTAGGGGGAGCTCTCGAGGCTCTCTGTAATGTACCGATCGATGAAGTTCCCGACAAGATGGAGGCCCCAATATTTCTGGCTGTGATCATCAGATGGCTTGACAATACGTCCAACCCGTACCATTGTTAAGGGGTGTGCTGTTAAGGGGAGGGACCTGGAAGTTCAACATAGTCAGGGCTAAATAATAAATAATAATATAATTAAACATCTCCTTGTCTATTAATATCAATTACATGTAAAGGAGTGATGTTGACCAAGCGAAAATATGCTAGTTCTGATATTGTCTTGGCACGAAGAATATTAAAGTCAATATAATTATTATTTGAGGGGATTAAATTGTCTTGTCCATGTCCATCGCAATCCATTTTACAGTATATTTCTTTATCAATATCTACTTATAAGTAGAAAGTGGAATGAAGAATATAAAATAAGAGAGAGTAAGTTAGGAGTAACTCAAACTTTTAAAATACACCTTTACCATCTGGCAATTGATTGAGTTGGGGAAGCACGTGTGACCCCAAATTAGTTGTTGAGCTTCAAAGGATTGCCGGAAAATGGGATACCGGTGTCGAATGATATGGGTTCGACCTAGAGTATATGATCACATTAGAATTGAACCTCAGGTAGTTGTCCCAAATAGGAACTTTTAATTAATTCCCCTGGTTCATAACAACTCTAGTTTCTAAATTTCACCCAATTGTCATTGTCAATGTTTAGTTTTGTTTATTGATTGGTGAACTTCCTGAACTGATCTGAACGACGGTTCGTTCAATCAGATTCTTAGGGACCCACGCCCCACAAATTAACCCACTTACACCCTCCCGAGGTTGCAATCCTCTCCTTCAACCCACAACACAACGCACCCAACAACCCAAACTAAGTCATTTTCAGAACCTCTCGCAACAATTAGGCTATTCATGCACTCGTCACCCCCGACCCCAACATTTGAAGTTGAATAATCAACAGATAATTTAACACACACAATTAATCTGGTTATTATAATTAATCAAATATACCTTGTACAAGGACCAGATCACAGCTCATCATCCTCCTAAAGATTAGATATGATATGATATCATATCAAGTTTATATCGATATAATAATGTAACTCCTCAATTATTCACTCAATCTAACAATCACTCAATCAATCAATTAATTAATTAACTTTAATTAATTATCTCTATTTATAACTTTCAAAAATGTCAACATTTATAGGTCTTTTTGAACAATATTTATTTATTTCAGGATTAATATTATTAGGTTGTTTATTATCTAATATATCCAAACAATTATTTAGATTAATATTACTAACTTTGGCAATTTATTATTTATATAATACACAAGGTTTATTAAATATATTATCCGTTGCATTTGTATTCTTACATGCATTCAATCATGATCAATGCATGCAGACCTCGGAAAGATATGCCGTCAACATATTTTGGGATCTAATTCTACATTTAGTATCATCATTGTTGGCCACCAGTCAAGCATTGGTCAATGGTAATGAGTCGCCAATGGTCATGTCCTACCTCATTGGTATCATTGCATGGAATATCGTTGGATTGGTACCAACATACAGTTCATCATTCAAATATCAGAATCATTGGAACTACCTAGGAAGCGTGCTGTCAATCTTCCACTTCACCTGTCTATGTCTATTCAAAGAACCCAATCTACTATGTTCAAGATTATTATTCGAAGCTGCATTCACATTGCCAATATTCGTCCTTGTAGCCTATCACTACATTGACTTGGACAAATGGGTCAAACTTAGATACTCCGAGACATACTTTGTCAGTTGTTTAATAACAAGTCGAGTCTTTGTCTGATTGACAATCTAGAATTGATTAAACCCTACCCTTTCCCTTACCCTACCCTACCCTTGCCCTCGCCCTCGCCCTCACCCTTACCCTCGCAACACACCCAAACTTTTATAATGAAGTCCAACACAAGTCACTTCATTCATTCAATAAATGGATCAATCAATCAATCAAAGTAATAATAATAAGAATGGAGAAGTTATTTAGGATAGTGATCAATGATAGACCATTGTCGAGGTTAGTCTTTGGTCATGGGGCTATGATCAATATCATGTTGACAGGTGAGAGTGTTAGGGGACGTGATATAACCAACCTAAGACAATGTGTTCATTACGGTCATACTTCACTATTCATTCAATACTTCAACAACATGTTTGTTAACAATGTTAGAGGACATGATAAACTACTCGAATGTATACAAAAGATAGATGATAAAGGCAACTTGTATGTATGATCATTGAACTCTCATGGTCTCGCTCTATCACTTACTCAATCAATCAATCAATCAATCACTGACAGCTTATACAAGACACTCTGCGATCTTGTGGACTTGTCAATGAAGCTCAATCAGACCAAGATATTGAACTTTATATTGATGACGATAAGGTCATCATTTCAATCAATAGGTATTGAACATTCACAAATAGACCAGATCATATACAAGTTGTTACCAAATGGTCCAATCTATGATGTACTCAACTCTGACATCGTATCATTGTTATCATCCACAATATCAATTGACTCGATCAGTCCTACTATATTTAAATCAATGGTATTGTCTACATTGATCAACAACAAAAACTCTGTCGACACATACATCAAGTTGTTGAGAAGATATCAATCTCATCGAGTTGATATCATCAGTGATGTTGATGTACTCGATACACTGTTCCGATGTAGGTCATCATCAGACATAATCAAAGTGATGGATACCTACAACACAATCAAACCATTTTGCTACAATACTTGTCTCACTCCTCTGGTACCTTGCTGTGCACTCAGACATAAAAGAGATGATGTATACATACTCATGTTATGTTATAACTTCGACTGGCACAGTATACCAGACACACCAAGTCTAAGAGCAATGGTCGATCAGTGCCAGGACACTTCCCTTAAGGACTTCTACGAGGGGATATGGGCCGTATCACACATGCCAGACTTGGTCGAACCGAATGAAGTCTTGGATCCAGCCCACATTAGAATGCTCTTGGAGGAAGAGGTGTATCCATCAACGCCTTACTTGTTGAGCCGAGTGCGCATCTCAATGATCTCAGCCATCGAGAGTGATGATGTTGTGGCCGTGCAACAGATACTTGCCAAATACCCTTCGATCGTGTACACTATCCCCATCGATACGCTACTCTTCCAAGCCTCCCAAGCAATCCAAGACATACTCATTGGGACATTGATTCCGGGCCAGCTGATTATTGAAGCAGAGAATGATGACACATGGTTGGAGGATGTCTTGGAGAGACGACTCATCACTCGACCAAACATCTTCTCGAATCTTTTTCACACTGTACACTTGAACAGTCAGAACATCGACGCCAAGTATGTCCTGTACCACATGGCCAAGATCCACTCGAGCCTCACCAAAGACCTCCTCCAGCCCTTTAGGGAGATGCGCCAGTTCGATCATATCACAGGCAAGTCATGTATCTTGGGTGACATCACCGATGATGGAGTGATCATACCTCAACCTATAATGAATGAGATAATGATTCGATTCTGTCTTACATCAATGTGGTCGATCACTCCAGGTATTTCATCAAGTCTGTGGAGCAAGCTGAGCAAGGACTCCAAGATGGACCAGTCATTCATCAAGGAATCATTGGCCAACTGTTTAAATGTACATTTAATATGTACGGCTATCAATGTACATTATTCACTTGTAGTCGATGATGAAACGACTGCGCCAACAACACCATTCATCAGTGCTCCATCACAATGTATCATACGTGATTGGTTAAAGTATTCTAAAAAGAACAAGAGTAGTAGGTGGAAACCAAGTTATTATAACATGGCAATCAATTTAATAAGGTTGTTCAACATGAACTATATTCAACAATCATTGCCAACTTACTACCAACACTACCTCATACCATACACCAACAGTGAATACCATGACATCTTGGACCATCTCTTCCTACATGGATACATTGTTTAATCTCATTAAAAGATCATTCAATTACACAATGGATCTATTCCATAGCACTATAATCAATTTGATCATACTATCATTCCTCTTGGAACTTCTGAATTTTGATCCAAGAAATACTTTTGTTGACAACAAGAGTCAACTACTCACCAGAGTCATTGACTAATGATCATCCATAAAGATCATTCAAATACATAATCACTCACTGGAGTTATCTCAGTCATTCGATCATTCCATCACATAATCAACTAAACTATCAATCAGGTGATGGATGTGTTGTTCAGACGAGTGTTCAAAGATAGACCATTGTCAAGGTTGGTCTTTGGTCATGCATCATTGATCAATATAATGTTGACAGGTGAAAGTGTTAGTGACGTGATATAACCAACCTTATACAATGCATACGATATGGTGACACTCAGCTATTCATTCAATACTTCAACAACATGTTTGTTAACAACACTCGTGGACATGAGTTGTTTGAACCCTATCTTAACAAACAAGTAACACAACATTACCAAAGATGACATGTATATAACTACCCTTGCCCTTGCCCTTGCCCTTGTCCTAACATTCAAACTTACACAAACACTTGCTACCCTCACCTACCTTAGATTACTTGGCACTCTTAGGGAACTAGTATCATTGTCATTGAAGTTGAATCAGACCAGCATATTGTCATTTATGTTTACATTGATCATTTCAACAGTGACAAGTGATGATCTCTCATCACACTCGGTGATCGCCGAACTACTACCAAATCACTTCTTGTACAATCACCTCAGTGTAGACATGGTCTCAATGTTGCTTAAAACACTCAATGATCGATCAATCAATATAGAGATAGTAAGGTCAATGGCACGGTCAACCTTGACCCACAACAAATCATCGGCATCATCATTCATCAATGTGTTGGAGTCATTCCCAACAATAAGATTAACTGCTGTCAGTTACGGATTTAATGAGAACCTGCTCTACATAGTCGGCCTGGAGTCATCTGAGATAATATCAGTGATTGATTACTGTGACTCAATCAACATCAAGAGCATGGACCTACATATGTTCGAGTTGTTCAGACTAATCAAACAATCATTGAAGTATCGGAGAGTGGACGTATTCCTATACATCGTTCGAAAGTACTGCTCATTAGAAATTATCCAATCACCATCATCTGGCAACCTTTGCCAAATGATCTTGGATCATGCAGACGAGGCGACTCTGGCACATTACAATCATCGGTTACGGCCTCCACCTCCACCTCCGCCTCCACATATTCAGGAACTGGACTTAATCGACCCAACAACTATAGTTGATCCTGATGCCGACTTTCAAATGGGTCCAGACATTCAAGACATCAGCTATTGTCTATATCCAACCTATCACCAGGTCGTGGAATCGATTGAACGTGAGGATATTGCGACTTTGAATGCCATGCTCGCAAGCCATCCAGAAAATATGTGGTACGTCCCTGTCCTTCTGTACAGGGCATCGCCTGCTATCCAGGATCTACTCTTGACCCAGTTGCCACCAAATCGTCTGACTATCTCCACTGATAACGCTTATGGTGGCACATGGTTGGAGGACATTATCCATGTCGGATCGAATGCTACATGTATCTTTGAGATATTGATTGACAGTGGACATTATTCATCACAGATATATTACGATCAGAAGAGATTGTACATTATGGCGAGAATATGTTCAAGCGACAAGATTGACCGTACACGCGGGAATTTCCCAAATATTGATAATGGCTTATCAAGCATTGATAACCCACCGATGTTGGGAATAATCAATGAGGATGGTGCAGTAATACCTCAATCAATCATGCTTGAAATATTATCAAGGTTCAGATTCACATCAAAGTGGTCGATCACACTTGATCTGGCCAGGACAATCTGGAACAAACTGGCCAATCAATCAAAGTTGGACATACATTTCTTGGATCAGGCATTATCCAAAGGAAATTGTTTGAAAGTTCATATAATAAGTTCAGCAATCGATGAACATCATAGACTATATGATGTTGTTCCTCAAGATAGTGTGGACTTGGTACCATTCATAGTCGCACCAAGATTGGATCATATTTTTAAATGGATGAAGAAATCCGAACAGAAACAAGGCGGTAGATGGAAGTTAAAATACTATCAAATGGTCAACTTAATTGTCAGACTATTCAACAAGGAATACATCCTCAACAAGCTACCAACATATTATCAACACTACCTCATACCCTTCACCAACGATCAATACCAAGATATTATCGAACTTCTGATCATACATGGAATTTTTGCTCAATGAATAAATATCATCAAAGTGTCCAACTTTCAAATTCAAGTTGTCATTGTTCATTCACTCAAACAAATAATAAATCAATCAAACAAATAATAAGAATGGACGAGTTATTTAGGAGAGTGATAAAGGATAGACCATTGTCAAGGTTGGTCTTTGGTCATGCTTCATTGATCAATATAATGTTGACAGGTGATAGTGTTAGTGGACGTGATATAACCAACCTAGGGTCTCCAAGACAATGTATTCAATATGGTGATACTAAACTATTCATTCAATACTTCAAATACATGTACATTTACGACAGTCGTGGACATGAGTTGATACTCTATAGTTTGAATAACCTAAAATATGGAGGTAGTTTCACTGACTGGATGTATGTATCACATACCTCCCTTCCTCGCTCACTCACTTACGTCAATCAATCAATCAATCAATCAATCAATCAATCAATCAATCAATCATACATGTAGGTTGATTATCACTCTTCAAGAACTAGTATCATTGTCATTGAAGTACAATCAGACAGACATATATTGTCATTCATGTTGACATGGATAAAGACATCTGTGACACATCATGATCACGATGCCGATAAAATGATTGTTGAACTTCTACATCCAACTCATATAGTTCATCGCCACCTCAATGCCGACATGGTGTCGATGTTGATGAGCACTCTCAATCACACATCAATCACGACAACAATGGTAAGATCATTGGCATGGTCCACATTGGTCCTCAGCAAATCAACATCGTCGTACATCAATGTGTTTGAGACACTCCATAACCAATCAGTAAAGAAGAATGTGAAGAGAACTTATTATATGAAGTTGACGACATTGATTCATCAGAGATATTATCGGTTATCGACTATTATCACTCAATCATCAACTTGAACTCTAATGAATTGTACGTGATCGACCAACTTAGACAATCATTGAAGTATGGTAGAGTGGACGTATTCTTGCACATCGTTAGGTGTTATTGCACATTGAAGATGATCGAGTCACACAGTAGTCTCCTCCAAGTCATCATGGACAATGCAGACGAGCGAGCTTTGCAACATTTCGATCATCAGTTAGAAATTCTGGAACAGGACTTCAAGTCCAGGCCACCAGACACCTCAGGAGTTGATGATGAGATCACCAACTTTGAATTGGGAACAGTCAAGCAAGATAATGGCGAAACATATCCGTCTTATAATGCAATTTTGGCAGCGATTGAGCGAGATGATATCATGACCCTTAGTGCCATGATTGCAGGTTATCAAGAGGTTAATTGGAGTATCCCCGCCAAAGTACTACTATTCAAGGCTTCCCATGGTGTCCGGGAACTTCTCTTAACATCATTGGCACCAGGTCAGTTGGCCATCACCGTTTTGGACGATCATTCAATATGGTTGGAGGACATCTTCCAAAAGTCAACTACAACATCACTCTCGAATTTCTTGGGTAGACTCGTTGAGACTGTACATTATTCAATGCAAGGTTATTTTAATGAAGGGGAGTTGTACAAGATGGCAATACTTTGCTCAAGCGACAACTTTGACCTCACCAACTACTTGCCAAACACAGACTCTGTCGTTTTACAGCAACCAAAGTTGGGAATTATCAATGAAGAAGGAGCATCAATACCTCAATCAATCATGCTATATATCTTATCAAGGTTCAAGTTCACATCAATGTGGTCAATCACACCTGATATGGCCAGGACAATCTGGAGCAAACTGGACATTCAATCAAAGTTGGACCTGACATTCTTGCAACAATCACTATCCAAAGGAATGTGCCCAAATGCACATATTATATGAGCAATCGATGAACATCATAATGGACAAGATGATGATGATGATGTGGCCTTGATACCATTCATAAAGCCACCAAAAACCCATTTGATTAACAAATGGTTGAGGGCATCCAAGGAGAAACAAGACAAGTTCTGATCGAACATGGAATTTTTGCCGAATATGATTGGTATTTTGACTCAATTTAATAATTAAACCAAAGACTCCAACTTTCAAATTCAAGTTGCCATTCACACAATCACTTTGTTTGCAGGAAGACAAAAGCTCAATCAATCAATAATTATTAATCAAACAATCAACCAATAATAATAATAATAAGATGGACAATTTATTTAGGAGAGTATTCAAAGATAGACCATTGTCAAGGTTGGTCTTTGGTCATGCAGCTTCGATCAATATGTTGACTGGTGATAGTGTTAGAGGATGTGATATCACCAACCTAAGACAATGCATATACTATGGTGATACTAAACTATTCATTCAATACTTCAACAACATGTTTTTGAACAATCCTCTTGGACATGAGTTGATACTCGATAGAATAAACCTTGCAAACAGAGGTTACCCAAGCATGTATGCTCTACTCGACCCTCATCCCTTCTGACCTGTATCCACTCATACTAATCAATCAATCAATCAATCAAACAGGTTGTTAGACACCTTTCGAGAACTAGTATCATGGTGTTTGAGTTTAAATCAGACCGACATATTGTCGTTCATGTTGACCTGGGTCAAGACTAATGTGTCTAGTGTTGATCACTTGGCTGACACAACAATAGCCCAACTTTTTCCAATTGGTATTTTGTATTTCCCCTTCGATGAAGACATGGTATCAATGTTAATGAGTGCACTCAATGACAAATCGATAACTTCCACGATGTTAAGATCATTGGCATGGACCACATTGGTCCGCGATAAAGATTCATCATCATACATTGAAATGTTGGATACATCTAAATTCCAATCAGTTAGAATGGATGCCGTCAGAGAGGAAATCGAAAAAAACATATTATACAAAGAGTACAGTGGCTTGACCTCATACGAGAGAGTAAATTCGATCGAATATTATCACTCAATCTTCAACTTGAACTCAGATGATAATTTAAAGTTGATGATCACACTACTCAAACAATCATTGAAGTATCGAGATATCCAAGTATTCAATGAAATGGTTCGTTGTTATTGCAATCCCTTCTGCAGAAGGGACATGATCGAATCACAGGGTAATCTATACCAAGTTATCTTGGACAATGCAGACAGCTGGAACAAGGAAAAATTCGATCATTATCAAATTCGAAATATGGCCGAGGACTTAGCAAACAGGCCGTACACATCAAGAAAAAAAGATTACCCTCACTATGAATTGGGTCCAATCAAACAAAAGAATGATGTTAAATGTCCCTCAGACCGTTCAGTGTTGGCAGCCATTCACCGAGATGATATTTTGTCCTTGAAAGCCATGATCTCCAGCGAACATCAATATTATTGGAATATCCCCGCCAAAGCACTAATGTTGACAGCCTCTCAGGATGTCTATGAACATATAATGACATCTTTGGCACCAGATAGGTTGAGAATCGAGTCATCGTATCATTGTGGTGTTGAAAATGATATATGGTTGGAAGACATAATCCATAAGTCCGCCACGGCAACTTCATCGATACACCAAGCAAGATCAAACTTCTTTAAAAGACTGGTTGATACTGGACACTATGCGAAAGATTTATATAATCAGATAGGATTGTACAATATGGCGAGAATATGCTCAAGCGACAAGTACGACCTCACCAGCTTCTTACCCATCATTGACAATGTTCTTCCCTACCGTGATATCCCACCGATGTTGGGAATGATCAATGATGATGGAGTTGTACTACCTCAATCAATCATTTTATATATATTGTCAAAATACAGTCTCACATCTATGTGGTCGATCACACTTGATATGGCAAGGACAATCTGGAACAAACTGGACAATCAATCAAAGTTGGACATACAATTCCTGGATCAGGCATTATCCAAAGGAAATTGTTTGAATGTTCATATAATATGTTCAGCAATCGATGAACATCATAGACTATATGATGTTGTTCCTCAAGATAATGTGGACTTGGTACCATTCATCATCCCACCAAGAGTATATCAGATAGACCAATGGTTGAGGAAATCACAAGAGAAACAAGGCCATAGATGGAAGTTAAGATATTATCAAATGATTAATTTACTTGTCAAACTATTCAACAAGGACTACATTCACAACAAGTTACCAACTTATTATCAACACTACCTCATACCTTACACCAACAATCAATACCAAGACATCATGGAACTTCTGGTCGAATATGGAATTTTTGCCCAATAAATATCTATTGTATAATTATCGTCTTCAATTCAAGTTTAGGATAATGAAGGCACCAGATCTCATTGTTCATTCACTCAATCAATCATCTCATACATATAATCAAACAAATAATAAGAATGGACGAGTTATTTAGGAGAGTGATAAGATAGAACATAGTCTAGGTCGGTCTTTGGTTATGCATCATTGATCAATATAATGTTGACTGGTGATAGTGTTAATGGACGTGATATCTCCAACCTTAGACAGTGTATACACTATGGTGATACTAAACTATTCATTCAATACTTCAACAACAAGTACATTGACAACACTCGTGGACATGAGCAGTTGATTGATAATCTCCACCAAGTTGATCACTTGCCCACGAACTATCGAGTGTAGATCACAGGTTCGTACTCCACCTAGCATGCCCATGATCCCTCCAATGATCATGCTGATGACTGACTCCCTCACCATACAAACCGCACCTCCCATTAGACACTTGGAACACTCAATGATCTCTTATCTTTGGGGTTGAAGCTCAATCAGATTGACATCATATCATTCATGTTGATGGCGATCAGGTCAAACGTGGGACCATTCCTTTCCTCAGATCAAGACTACTACTACCTTGTGACACAATATACAATGGACTCAATGCTGGAATGGTGAACACACCCTAACCGATCGATCAATCAACACTTGGCTCGTACAATCAATGTCTAGATCTACAATACTTAAGCAGTAGAGATGTTACTACCTGCGCAACTTTAATCATATTAAATTGATGATGACCATGGACAACAACAATGTGATGCAGAGCAGTACTTTGTTCCATTGTGTTGTTGGTGCCCTGCTTTGAATATTATCAATGGTCAATGTGATTTGGTTGGTATATGTTGTCAAAATAGGCTTGCTATATGATCGATAGTTGGGATAGTTGCCAAGTGTGTAGTTGCCAACTATAGATGTGGCAGACAGTATGACGATTGGTCTACCATAGTCTTCATATTTGAGGTCGTATTCTGGAATATCTAGACGACCCTGGAGTGTCACTCGTCCATTGATCATTATACTATTATAAGTGTACTCTGGGTGGTAGGGGTAGTAGTAGTCTACAAAGATGTTGAATTGATATACAGAGGTGGGAAGCATGAACAGGTTGCCAGAGAATCCTAGTAATCCTGTCATTGAGCAGTTACATCTGATATCTTTTGATTCACCAGTGGCGATGAATAATGGTCGGGTGTACTTTGGGAGGTAACTGTTGAAAAAGTCGAGACCAGCAACCAGTCCTTGGAAGTTGAATGACTTGGCAGCGATGTATACTCCACTCGAGAATATATAATTATTCGCCATGTTTGTAGATGACTCGTTGCCAAGTTGAATGTAATCACCAATCACTGTCATGTTACCGATCATTGTAATGTTTGCATGATCATTTGTAAATGTTCCACCAATAATAATATCTGTTCTAACTGTAGACCACATTGTTGAACGAGGTGCCAGGTACAGGTTGCCTGTAATCCTGATTGTAGCTCCAAGGGTGAAACCAGGGGCCATGGCATAAAGGTTGCTAACACCTCCCTCGCTGAACAAGTTATGGATATTGTGTGCCTTCTTAATCCAATCAAAAAAGCCATCTCCATGCATTCCTGGATGGACACCAAATGGTAATGGTTGGCCTCCAAGGCTGGTGTGTCTAGGATGATGAAAATCACTGATCATTCCACCATGGTGGTGGCGCCCGTTACCGTATGCATCGATTAAAGCTGCTCTCTGATGAGCGACTGGAACTGCGTACATTTCTATATTAGTTGACAAGAAAATTGGTATTGAAGTCCATCCTGTAATCATCACCATTGCGAGAGATGTACAAGAAGTGATATTTCTCTTTGTCGCTATCTCATACATCTCCATAAAAGCATGGAATGGAACAGTCAACGACAACTCATCAAATATAATTTTGAGGGTGTCATCATTGATATTTTTGAACAATAATACGTAATCAAGGTTACCTTTGCGAATTGATGCTGCCGTGTCCTTCCATGATTGGGTACTGATAATAATTTTAGAACTGAAGTGCCTGTGAATCTTCATCAACTTGGGAATGGATGGGTCCTTGAGCTCATTGCTTAGGTCATCAAAAATAATAATATACTCTGGAGCTACAAACTTGGGCTTTGGAGGTTGTGATGGCGGGGGCGGTAATGAATAGGGCCCTATCAATGGGTAGGTCTTAATCATTGGCAGAGAAGGGTCTCTCAATGGCAATTTGTTTTGATCAGCTTGTGCAACTACTGGAGCAGCAGGTTGTTGTAATGATGCAATAAACTCATCCAATAAATTCACCTTGCCATCCTTGATACTTGTAAAAGTCTTAAATTCAATACGGCGCTTGGTCATGTCTTCTTGGATTGCGACCCAACTTAGGTCATTGTTTACTGTGGCGCAAAATATTATCACCTTGGTGTTCTTGCCAGCGCACTCATCTATTATCTTTTTGATTGTCACAGTCTTACCGCTGTTCTTGGGCGCGCATATGAGTATGTTGGAGTTTACTTGATTAAAGAGTTTGTGCCCTTGAATATTTTTTGGTTGTTTCGGAAGTTTGATTGGCTCCACTTCTACGTCATTTATTTTTTGTAGCTTGAGCATCTATATTACTCCCTATCAATATTTTACAAACTCAATCGCAAAGGTAGCAGTCACATCCGCTCTTAACCTCAGTCCATTCTGATCAACACATTCAAATTGATAATTGCCCTGGATCCACCTCTCACTCTTGTTTAAATAAATATAATTAGGACAAAGGAAACAAACCTGTTCAGTAGAGCAGAATAAAATATTGTCTGGAATGAGATTGGTCCTAACTTGGACAATCTTGTCATTACCCTCGGCGTTGTAATATGATGAGAATGACTTGAGAATAATGGCATCAGGAACGAAATCAATGTTGATGGGAACATTTATTATATTTCCATTGGGAGGTGGATCCTCTCCTCCTGATCCTTGGAATACAGCATTAACAAATATTGTCTTTACACATTTTGATTTAGAGTAGCCCATATATATTAGTTAATGGATATTAATTAATATATTTACACCAGCACCAGTCCATTTGGAGTGATGACCAACTTGCGCTTGCAAACCACAGTTGATTGATGAGTCAAGTTGGCGGCACCACTGAGGAATCCAACGAAATCCCATTTCTGTTCACCTAGATTGAGATCAATGCCAGTAATTGCATTGTCCTTGTTAAAGTTTGAGGTGCCATCACCAAACTCCTCAATCCAACACCAGTTCCTATTATGAATTCTCGGTGTCAATAGCGATGAGTCTTTAAGAATCCATCGCAATGCCATGTAATCATCATTAAGATTTAAATAATAATCATATTGCATCAACCTATTGTTGTTAATATTTGTGTAAAAGTGATCCAATAGAGTGCTTCTAAAGTTACTGTTGTAAATGGCAGTATTTATTGCTGTTTGTGTTAGGAACACACTGTGATAGATTCTCTCCAATGTCATACCTTTTTTTTTATTTACTCTTAGAGTGACCGATTGATTCTGTCCAGTGAGTGCTGCTTGGTAAGAATACGAGTATGGTATCATCAACGAGAATCCCTCTGGGCTGAATATCTTG